GAGATTTTTCTCTTTATCCTGAGATTACAGAAATTTTAACAGGATTTACCCTATATGACTCCATTTTCATTATTTTTGCTCACCTTCAGCCTTTTTTTTTCTTTTACCAAAATTTTTTTCTGTTTTTTTTTTCACCATTTGAAACTCCTATATAAACATACACACATCCATTTGTCCAAAAATACTTACTGTACACTTACCATGTGCCTGGCACTGTGATGTAATCAAGATCTTCAATGCTAAATTCATGTTCCTAATTTCTGAAAGTTTAATTTTAAGTGGATAGTGTTTTCCATCATCTTCCCTATCTTTTCTCATAATTTTCATTTATTTAATCTTTTCTTGTAAGATTCCTTTAGTTCAAAATTATAATTAGTACTAATTATTTCATATAATACTAATTATACTTTTTTTCCCTGCATTGTTTCCCCAAGAATTCACTCTGCTTATGTATGTCACCTATCTTTCATGTTGCTCCTTCCTAAGTGTTGTTTCTTGGTTGTGTGTCTCTATTTGCAAGACACTTTACTGATCAGTAAATCTTTACTGTAAAGATTAGGCTAGAGATCCACATACGGTATGATTCACACGTTCTTTGTTTTGGTTTTATCCAGCCCTTTCCGGATATAAAAATCTATACAAATACAGGCAGTTGAAGGCCTGCAAATGGTAGTTTTCTAACCACTATATTTTTTTCAGCATTACCTAATTTTTCCCAGCTTGAGTGAAAAAATTCCCCGGCAGGTTTTTATTGCAAGAAATCTAGCATTTTAATTTTGCAAGGAAGTAAGAATAGTCAGTAGAAAAACTGGAAAATAGACAGCTAGCAGGTTGGTTGTTTGTAGAAATATGAGGAATCAAAGCCCTCTAGTATTCACAAAACACCAGGGGAACTGGCATACTCTGATACACACACACACATACCCACTCACTCTCTCCATATATGCTCTGTGTCTCAGTTTATTTGGTAAACAGCAAGAAATGTTATGCCTTTACCTTGGAGGGATTCTGTAGACTAGCAGCTCTGAGCCAGTAACTAGAGTAATTAACTAGTCCTTTAAAAATCTGGTTACCACACTATAACCACTCCCTCTCACTCAAATGTTTTTATATATACTAATATTGCCTTTGTAGTTCTTTTTTCTGTCATGTATACAAGAGAGATCTTGTTACATGGAAAAAACTACTAGTCCTACTACTGACTTTACAATATGATGGATTAAATTTAAAGGGGGGATAGAGTTCTGACTCCTACAGGTCTGTTACGGATCATTCCAATGCTTTTGTAAACTATTATGAAGAATCCCCAAACCTATGCATATTTACAAAAGGACCAAAGCTCCTGCTTTGATATGAGAGTCATAGGTACCAGAAATTTACTTGAGGGCCCTATTAATATTCTAAAATTGCAATCACTTGCCACTACCTTCAGAATCGCATGGAATACTTATTAAAAATACATAGCTTCCAGCTGGGTGCTGTGGTGCACACCTATAATCCCAGCAGCTCAGGAGGCTGAGATAGGAGGATTGGGACTTCAAAGCCAGTCTCAGCAATGGGAAGGCATTCAACAACTCAATCAGACCCTGTCTCTAAATAAAATACAGAATAGGGCTGAGGATGTGGCTCAGGGGTTGAGTGCCCCTGAGTTCAATCCCTGGTACTCCCCCTGCAAACAAAAACAAAAACATTACTTCCAAAGAAAATACTCTTTAGTCATTCTGGGGTGGCACTCCAAATCCTTAACTTTACAAAAATTTTAAGAACTACTGCCCCTTTCTAACATTTTAGGTGATGTTAAGGAGGAAGAGTCAGCCAAAGAGAGCTGTCAGGTAAAGGCTACAAAAAAATGTGAAAGGTCTCTGAAGAGAAGAGCTTCATCGAAAAGAAACAGAAGGCCGTCATGGCTGGTGAGAAGAATGGCATAATATGAAGCTAGAAACCTAGGCCAGGACTGATCACCATAAGGAGTTTGGATTGCACAGGTCCAAACAGAAGAGACTACACTACCTGAATTATGTCTTTTTTTTTTTTTTTTTTAAAGGGGGGGGGGGGGAAGGGGGGGAGGGAGGGGGGAGAGAGAGAGAGAGAGAGAGAGAGAGAGAGAGAGAGAGAGAGAATTTTTTAATATTTATTTTTTAGTTCTCGGCGGACACAACATCTTGTACGTGGTGCTGACGATTGAACCCGGGCCGCATGCATGCCAGGCGAGCGCGCTTACCGCTTTAGCCACATCCCCAGCCCCCTGAATTATGTTTTTAAAAGATTATACTTTGTGTGGCTGGGCACAGTGGCACACACCTGTAATCCCAGTGGCTGTTCAAAGTCAACCTGAGTAATTTAGCAAGGTGCTAAAGGGCTTGGGGTGTGGCTCAGTGGTTAAGTGCCCCTGGGTTCAATCCCCTCTACAAAAAATAAATAAAATAAAAAAGTATACTTTTAATCTGTGGTAGGAAACTAAGTCTAACAGAGTTAAGAGTGGAAACAAGATTAGTTATAAGCTATTTTGGCTATCCAGCAAAGACGATGATGATTTCAATTGGGTAATAGCAGCAGAGATTTAAAAAAAAGCATGCAGATAAATTCTGGAAGTAGAACAGACAAGACTACCTGATAGATCAGACGTAGAAAACAATAAAAATAGAAGACTACAGGATGGTCCCTAGCAACATAATTTATACAATTATATGGAACATAAGTTAATTTCTTTGGTTATTAGAACTAAACTACATTTTTTTTTAGTTGTTGACTGACCTTTATTTACTTACTTATATGTGGTGCTGAGAATCAAACCCAGTGCCCCACACATGCTAGGCAAGCATTCTACCACTGAGCCACAATCCCAGCCCACTACTTTCTTTTTTAATCAAGAAAACAAGTAATGCAGGGGCTGGGGATGTGGCTCAATCGGTGGCACGTTCACCTGGCATGCGTGCAGCCCAGGTTCGATCCTCAGCACCACATACAAAGATGTTGTGTCCGCCGAAAACTAAAAAATAAATATTAAAAAAAAAAAAAATTCTCTCTCTCTCTTCAAAAAAAAAAAAAAAAAAGAAAACAAGTAATGCTTAGAAAACAGAAGTTGAAAGATTGTTAAAGTTTTTACACAAATCTTTTTTATAAAAGCAACGAAGATATAAACACTAAGGGGATCACAAAAATTAATCTGCCTGCAAACTAAACTACAAATCTACAAATTATCCACTGGAAAATACATGAACTTGAATTTCTAAATTAAGTATAATAACAAGATATATTTTATTAATACTTTGTAAATAAGCTATTCTGTATAAAGCCTCAAGCCATCCATAAAAATTACTACTTAACTCCTGCCTCCTCTCACTCTAAAACATTAACCTGAAAGTTGTTACACTGAATTCTTATTATAGAGGACTTTTCTAAAAAAGTTTCATATCTTAATCTGATTAGAGACATGACATTTTAAAATCCCAATTTAGTGTCAAAAGAACTAAATACTAATAATAACCCAGAGAAATCTATTATTCTTTTATCTTAGCCTTTACACAATTATTGTGAAATAAAGAATTAAGAAGGTTGATCAAGTCCTATTACGTTAAAATATGAACTCCTGAGCAAAACAGGTTTTCCACTAAGTAAATATGAATTCCCTTCTCTCAATTGGCTCCAAATATTTAATATCTAATATTGAATTTTTCCAACTTAAAGGTAAGCAAATCTAGTTCACCATTTAGAAAAAATCACAATGGTCCAGAAAAATCTAGTTTTAAAAGCCTTGTTTTATACAAAGAGAAATTATCTGTGAAATTCTACAAATGCCCATACATTCATCCACTTAATGCCTTATTATCTAATACATGGTACATTTATACAATTGCCTCAAATTTTTGAAAAGCTAATTTCACTAAAATTGAACCCAGAATAAAGATTTAAAGATGCTGCTCTTTCAATTCATGTTCACAAAAAGATTCATATAAGATTTGTAAGAGCACTGATTTTCAGTGAGACATACACACTGTCATTTGAAAATAAATGACTGAAGAGTAGATATCTACCAGTTTTATGTTCTCTTGTAGAATATATAGGTATATAAAACATAAGTTAAAAAGAGAATATATGAAAGAGAAAGAATTTTTTAAAAAAAGGTTGCTTCTTGGTTCTTTAGGCAAAAACAGCCACGATAAAAGAACTAAAACTGGGGCTGGGGCTGTAGCTCAGTGGTGGAGCACTTGCCTAGCACGGTTGAGGCACTGGGTTCTATCCTCAGCACCACATTAAAAAATAAATAAATAAAATAAAGTTAAAAAAAAAAAAAAAGAAAAAAGAACTAAAACTGGCACACTTAACTTGCATTCAAATGTATTTTCAGGAAGATTTCAAGATTTGACACAGGCAGAAACAAAAGGAAAAAACTAAAACAAGTATAAACAAAGTCAGTTACACACTGACCTCTCTTTGAAATATGCTTAAAAATATACTTTAGTCACACTTTTTAAAAATATGACTGAGAAATATTTTTCTTTAATTCAAGTCTTCTCAATCATCTTGAAATCCTTGCAAGCTGAACTCATACATTAGAGCAAATACTGATTTTAGATACTAATTTCAATAATAAACCAATTCATTTAAATTGCTAATCCAAGGATAAAGATTTTGTAAAAAAAAAAAAACATTTTATTACTACAAAGGGAAACATGTACACAAAAAGCTTTTAAGCTATCTTAACGCAAATTACTAGTCAATGTCCAATGCAGTAAAAAAATACACAGAGCACAAAATACTTGCCCAATTTATCTCTTCTAGGGTAAGTATTCAAAAAATCAATGCACACTTGAAAATTCACTCCCAAGAGCAGCTTTTAAGTTCAAATGATTAGAATAGATATACTAATAATACACATCTATTATCCTTAACACCAATAATAAAGTAATAAAAATTATACAATTTATCAGATCTAAGTTTGATAGCTATAAAAACTAAATTAGTCTTACCTTCATTTTATTAAACAAATACCAAACGTGTACAAATTATATAAAACAAATTTTAATGGGTTGGAATGCATGCAACATGTATGTTAATTCATATTTTAAGCTATTAAAATTCTTACCCTTTTCCACATTAGGACAAAAATTTAAAGCTTCTTTTAAATCTACTACCTTATATTTAATTTTCTTCAGGTTGCTCAACAGGGAAGTCAACAGGTTCTTCCTTTGCCTCTTCCTCCACTTCTTCTGCTTCTGCAGCTCCCTCTACTTCCCCTACTGCCCCATCTTCCCCCACTGGCCCTATTTCCTCCCCTCCCTCTACATCCCCCTCTCCCTCTATTCCTCCAACTTCTCCCACATCCTCTACTTCTTCCACTTCCTCTGCTTCCCCCACTTCTTCTGCTTCTTCTTCCTCCTCTTCATCCTCCTCTTCTTCAATGGGTTCATCAATCTTTTCTTCATCCTCTTCATCTCCTTCTATTTGCTGCTCCTGAGAATGATCTTGAATTTCAAAAGGATTTTCACCCTAAAAACATGAGTAATGCCTTTTAAAATCAGCACACTTATTTTTTCCAGTGAAATTTTTATTTGCTGTATCATGAAAAATACTATCTGTAGTTTTTTTCACTTATGAAAAGTCCATTAAATCTATGCTCATATCTATTTCAGAACTCCATACTTAAGTCACTGCTTTGCACTCCGCAAACTAGAATACTTAAAAGTCATATTTTCTTCTTTTTTTAAATATTTTTTTTTAGTTCTAGATGGACACATACCTTTATTTTATTTTTATGTGGTGCTGAGGATTGAACCCAGTGCCTCACATGTAGGGAGCGAGTGCTCTACCACTGAGCTACAAACCCAGCCCCAAAATCATATTTTCTTCTTAACTGAATTTCTAAAATTATATGTGAAAGACAAAGGCAAATATGCAGGTTTTGGTAGAAACAGAGAATACACAGTTGTGCATCTTAAATAACTAATCACCTACTATTATTGTAGGGTCTTTTTAAAGCTGAAATGAAAACTGGGTACCTTGTTTTACCTACCAGATACCATGATTTCTGTCCACTTTAAAAAAGAGACACCCACTATTGTGTATAGTTACAATGCACCAATGAAAAATTAACTCAAATAAATGAACAAAAGCAAAAATGAGCATAGGTCATTAAAAATAATAATAATAAATTAAAAATAGACAAGTCTTTAATTCAGTAAACATTCATAGGAATAATTTTAGCAATTATATACCTGAGTCAAACTTCATATAAGTTGGACCATATCACAAGACCATATATTAATGTAGTAAGAAATAGAGAGGCAGTAAAAGTTATTAAACAGGAAAATATTAGGACTGATGCCCAGAAAGGAATAGAAGAAATACTCAGGCTGTGAGTGTAGCTCAGTAGTACAGCATGTGCTTAGGAGGCCTTATGTTCAATATCCACTGTCAAAAAAGGAGAATAAAAGAAAAATGAAAAAGAAATACTAATGAGGGGGCTACATTAATAATCCAGAAAAGGACAACATAAAAGATGTGACAACATTAAAAAAATAGGTAAATTAGAGCAGGGAGAGGAGAACTGGGTGCAAGCAGTTGTGAACTTGCAACTCAAAATTTGAGAGAGAACGTATGAAAATGCCTATATGTGGGGGGTACAGGTCAGAAGAGAGGAACTGTTCAGTACAGAAGAACTCATGATAGTAAAATATTGTCTGCCAAAAGAGTTTCAAGAAAAATGGTGATTAATCAGCAGTGTCAAAAAAGAACACAAATAAAAGTACAAAAGGACTGAAAAATGTCATGAAAGCCAATCACTTATTAAAGCTGAATAAGGGTTCCCAACTGTTTACTTTTCCATGTTAAATAAACCATAGTATGTTAATTTTTTAAAGGCCACTGGATTTAATAATTGGGTCACTGGTAATCTTAGGAGAAGCAGTTTCAAAAGTGTAACACAGGGCTGGGATGTGGCTCACTACCTAGCATGCACAAGGCCCCAGGTTCAATCCCCAGCACCACCAAAACAAAAGGAAAAAAAAATACACAAAACATACACACACTCACACACACGAGTTTGAACAGCAAGTTTTCAAAGAATCCATCTTCATAATTCCCTGTGAAATTCACAAAATCCAGAGGCCTTGGTCCACACTCAGTATTTTAATTGACAAGTAGTAGAGATCTTACTAAAAACACTAATTTCTGAATCAGTTTCAGACCTCCTGAATCAAAATTTCCAGGGTAGAAGGTAACCTGTATATTTGAGCAGCATTTCATAAAATGTTAATATGAAAAGCTTGAGGAAACCTTAATTCAGAAGATCTGAAAAAAAGGCCTTGAAACTTTTTACTTGATCATAGCCTCATAGGTGATTCTGATTTCATTCCTCCTGGTGAGAACTACTCAGTTAAAGAGTGAATAATAAAAAGTAAAAAGCACCACAAAACAATATTTTCAAGTACAGTCAGATGAGAAGAAACACTAATATGGGGAGGGCCAAAATTCAGGAAAAATAAAGTCATTTTTAGTTTGGAGAACTCATAAGCATGTCTGCTTATAAAAACAGAAAATAAATAATAAGCAAAGTAAAAATCAAATGCAAGCAACGTAAAACAAGAGATAATGGGTAAAATAAGAGATAATGGGTAAAATGAGAAAAGAGATAATGGTAAAATAAGAACATAGATGAAGGTCAAAAAAGAATATTTTCCTTACTGATAACAAGAAAGATAAAAAGAAAAGGTACATAAATCTAAGGCATAAACTCATTTCTAATAATCTTAATCTCCCTAACAAAAGAGAAAAGAACATGGAAGTGAGGAAAATAAAGATGAAATATAGAACATATGAAGAATGAAAAAGGGTTTAGAATGTTCACTACAGAAGATACAATATTGATAATTAATAAGTAAAATTATTGAGTGAAAAACTGGCAAACAGGATTGACACAATAACATAGTTTTTTTTTCTTTTCTTTTATCTTCATTTTTTAGGCAGAGACTTGTTGTATTGCCCAGGATGGCCTTGTACACCTGGGTTCAAATGATCCTCCAGCCTCAACTTCCTGAGTAGTTGGGAGTACAGATCCCATGCAACTGTACCCAGCTCCATGATACATAGTTTAGCTAACTAGAGGTAGCTAAATGCTGGGAACTGGTAAGCAGTTGAAGAACAAATAAGCAATTGTAGAACACTATTGCTTGTTGAAATGGTTAACCATGAATGTCCAAGGAAGGAAGTAAAGGTAGAACATAATGATATAACTGGAAAATAAACTGATGAATTGATTATCTTGATGGGATCAAAGATTTAAAAAGGTGTTTTTCTCAGGGTGAAAGCAACTGAAGGTAAAAGAGTTTTAAGCCATGACAAAAGCTATTAAGAGCAGAGGATGTTCTCAGGAATGACAAGGAACATCACAGACAGAAATGCTGAACAAAGGCAAATCAATGAGGAATGTGATTCTAGTGCTTCTTGAATTTTAACATGCATATGAATCAAATGGGTTCATGCTAAATGAAGATTCTTACTCCTTACTCTGTAGGCATAATAAGATTTAAAATTCTGAATTTCTAATGAGCTCCAAGGTGATGTCTAGAATGCTGATCTAGAGAACATATTTGAAGTTCTAGAGATCTCTTCAGTTCAGGTGTTTTCTCCACAATATGCACATTAGCAAAACACTTCCACCAGTGATGCCTCCCATTCCATGATGAGACTCAATTGGATAGCCTGAAAACCCTATGTAGAAACTCCTAATTTATATTTTCTTCATTAGAAATTACTTTCATTCAACAATAGAAATCACTAACGTCTTGAAACTTTGTGATAAAGCAAGGATAAAAATCTAATTTTTCCTCATTTAGCTATTATCTTTTTAAGCTTCTGTCTTTTTGATGCCACACCTCCCCCAAAAATTAACATTTCAATTCACAGCTGTCTTTTTTTTTTAATAGTGTCAAGAAAGTAGTGAACAGCAACAAGCACAATTAATTAGAATTAGAAAATGACCCTTGAGGAATAAATCAAAAGAACTGAGATTATTCAGCTTGGAAGTTGCTTGATAATAGTTAATAGCCATTAAATATATCAGGCTTTTTCACAAGAGTAGTGAACTGTGAATCACCACAAAAGCCAAAATAAACTTCTTTATTCTATAAAGATTTACTAAATGCAAATAACAGACTTTTGTAAATCTTCAATATAACAGGTCTCATTAGTGCAGAATGATTTTAAATATTTTGTAAATACTCAAAAACTAACCTGTAAAATTTGTTTATTAATTTCCTAAAAAACAGTGTGTGTGAGTTCATGTTTGTACAAAAACTATTTGAAGAAATTCTGTGTAAAGAAGGAGTCAAGCAGTAACATATGACGAAAACCCTGAGTAGTAAAGTGGGCCAGGGTACCCAATTTGTATCACAAAAAGTTACTATGGTGTCACTTTTAATTACTACTATACGACAGTATTTCCTAAAAAACTTTTGCCCCCAAATCTTACCTTAACAAATCGTTCGTAGCGTGCCTTCACTATTGGATTATTTAAAATGCTTGTGGCAGTCAAGACACTCTCTCTTTTTATTTGTTCCTTATAAGCCTATGGAAAACAGAATATATTTGAAGGTTAGAATGTCATGCCATAAAAAGTGCTTGTATAACTAAAAACATTTTATGCTCAAATCCTTAAATTTAAATGATTTCTCTTATGGCAAATAAAACTATAGAGCAATAGCTATTGGGATCATAATCTAAATTAAATAATAAAGATTAATATGGACTAAACATTAACCGATTTAATGGATTATGAACTTAAAACAATGAAGATTCATAAGCCAATTAGTTTCAATAAAAACAATATATCCCTAAACACTATAAATCTAGATGTACTAGACAGTTGCTTTCTCTCCTCTCTAAGTCATCTCTCAGCCCAAATACTAATTTTCATGCTATCTCAATGAATATAATTTTTTATTAATGAATATACTTTTTAATTCTGTATTTGTTCTTTTTAGTTATACATGACAGTAGAATGTATTCTGACATATCATACACAAATGGAGTATAACTTCCCATTACTGTGGTTGAACATAATGTGGAGTTATACTGATTGTATATTCATATATGAACATAGGAAAGTTATGTCCAATTCATTAACTATCTCTCCCATTCCCTCCCCCTCACATTCCCCAAACCTCCTTATCCAATCTAGTGAACCTCCTACTCCTCCCTCCCCGCCCCCCACATCTTGTGAAAGAATATTTTTCATACCACAAGAGTAACTAATTAGTCTTCCTCTAGGCTACAGGTATCACAATAATGTATTAAGCAGAGAAGAAAAGGTAATAATATAAAATGTTTGGCTGCAAAAAACATCAAAGAATTATCAAGGGCGGGGGAAAGGGCAAAGATTAAGAAAACACTATTATGTGCTCAAACTGCATATAGAAGTCTGAGTTAAATGAAGTTCACTTCAATACAAAATATGAACTTAAGAGACAGGTATCCTCTATTTAAAACTTAAGAGCTTTAATATATGAATCTTTAAATCTAGTTCTCAAGTGAGTTAATTTCCTACTACATTAACATTTGTGTTGTTTGAAGTAAATCTGACCCCAAAAACAACAGCCAATATGCAGAAGAAATAAGCTAAAAATTTTCCAGGATATTCTTCTCAAAAAAAAAAAAAAAAAAAAGAACAGTAGACAGTAACTGATCATCTTAATTTTTAAATTTATTTTTCATAACCACCAGAAAAATGTATCAGTTATAATCTTTACTCATTTTTATTCTAAAACACATGCCTACTCTCACAAACCATTTTGCATCAACTATAAAAAAAATAGTTCAACAATTGATTTTCTCAATGCTTACTATAACCAGACACCATTTTAATTACCTTAGATGTTTTAATTTATTTAATCCTTAAATAATCTTATTAGAGAGAATCATTATCCCTCCTATTTCCTTATATATAAGGAAACTTAGAAAGATTAATCTACTTGTTACATACTGATCGAGGATTTAAACCCTGAAAGTCTTGTTCCAGAGCCCACAGTCTTAACCAATATACAATGCTGCTTCTATGAGTATACTTTTAATTATTCTCATTTGAGATTAATAGTATTATATATAGGAAGATAGTTACAAAACAATGGCCAAAAAATAATAAAGGACTGAGAAATTTCAAGGATTTTAAGATAGATCAAAACTTACCTGTTTCCCTTTGATATGATCAGGAGATTTTAAGTGTTGCTGAACTGAACTATGTAAAGCAGGAATATACACACTGCAAGCACTGCAGTGAACAGTCTCTACTTTCATCATGTGGTCATCTGCAGTAACACCTACAAAACAAATCCTATCATTAAAAAACTAATATATTCTTTTTTCTGACAAATCAAGACTCTACTGCTTAGTTTTCATAACCATTTGTACCCCTTTTACCACAAGAAGGATAAGAGTATATAGGTTTATGTTGAGATTTTTAACACATCTCATAAATCTACACAGATTTTTTAGGTATGTAGATAACTGGTTAAAATTACAAGGTGTAATTACATTGTACTTCCTAATCATGTTATACACTCATACTCTGAGGTCTATAAATCTATCTTCCCCAAAATATAAAAGAAAACAAAGTTGATTTTGTAATAAAATAAGAATTTTTTATGATTATAAATATGGGTGGGTAGGGAGAGGAAAAAGGATGTCAACATTTGATTCTTAAGGGGAAAAATATTTTTTTAGATCTTGAAAATGATTAGAATTTATTTCAAGGAAAGGTATAAATATATGCAAGGGATATTTTGTGTGTATGCTCAAGATACATTTTTAATTATTTTTACTAAAATTTTAAAACTTACTACTTTAATAACAATGTTATGTAAATACTATTTGCCTTTTTGGCCCCACCATCAAATCTGATTTTGTCAGGGATTACAAACAAGTAGAAAAGAGAACATAAGTCATAAACAAAATCACAAGCAGGGTCTGAGCACTGGGGTCTCTCTCTGCTAACCATAGAGAAAATAGCACAGATTTTCTAAGAATTGCAAGCAATTTAGTATGACTAGGGCACAGACTATAATTAAGGGACAAAAGATGAGAACAGAAAAACTAAAAAGGGCCTAGGTTTAAAAGATCTTTGTGTGCCATGTCTAGGAATTTGAACTTTAAAGTGTAGAGAATGGAGAACCACTGCAATTTTCTGAAATAATAAGATTACACAGAATTAGAAATAAGAAAGACTGGAAGTAAGAAAACTAGTTAGGAAAACACTACAACTATCAAGAGAACAGGTAAGGATTTCAATAAAAGCAAAATCTAAAGGAGAGGTTAAGGAACAGACTTAGTAAATATTTAAGATAGAACCTATAAGAAATAATGCTACAAACACAGAAAGGAAGAGGTATCTTAAATTAACTCCATACTTCTGGTTTTGGTAGATGGTGGGACTACTTTTCAAGATAAATGAAGGAGATATTAGTGGGTTTTTGTTTTGTTTTCTCTGCAGGGGGCATATGCTGAAATAAATGATAAAACTGTTTTGGATATATTGATTTTGTCTAACTGATGAAGAGATGTCTGTAGGCAGTTGGACAAATAAGACTGGAGTTCAGAAGGAATTACAGGAAAAGATGAATTTTCTTATAAACTCACATGAAGGAGGCAACAGTAGGTAATAATAAATTTGTAAGCACTGAAAAAGGAAATCAAAATTCACTTCTGTTAACCCACAAAGGCAAGCAAATATTTAATTATGTGCTATATCACTTTGTAGGGGAGAACAAGAAAGCTATCATTTATGATAAAAAAGTTATGTTAAATATACATGTAAATTTCCTAAAACAATTTGCCCACTTACCTTCCATAACATCTTTTTCAATTATTTTGACAACCTCTGTTTGATTATTTGTCTGTTGTTTACGAATAGATGTTTTCTTAAATTTATTCACCATGCATTCCTAGAAAATAAAAAAGAATCCAAACAGTTCTCAATAAGCACTTCAGTATATGCTTAGCACCATGCTCATCTTATTGAAGACACAATACCTGCTCTATAAGAATTAATATCTGTTCAAAAGCAGCTTACAATTTAGGTGAGTAGGCTATCATAAAATACTAGAAAATTACAAAAAGTATTGACTTTTCAAAATGTATTTTACACACAGAGAAAAAAATCAAAGACAGCTGAAATAGTCAAGAGGGCTTCTTAGGTAAATGCATATTTAAGTCATAAGTGACACATAGCAACCCACTGAGGAAAGAAATTACAAAAAGATTTTTTTTGTTGTTGTTTGTTTGTGGTGCTGGGGTTTGAACCCAGGGCCTTGTGCATGTGAGGCAAGCACTCTACCAAATGAGTTATATCCCCAGCCCCTCAGAAAGAAATTGTAATTAAGGGACACAATTCTGCAAGGTCTGAATGATCACTGTATTTCTGACCCTCTAATAATTTTTATCACTCCTGTCTAAATCTGTTTTCTGTACAATTACCAGTTCAGCTCAAGCCTCTTCTTCCTGCATTCCTGGTCCCAACAACTTTTCTCTTGCCCAAGCCCTTACTGTACTTCTGAACTATTGCCATTTATTCTTAAATGTATCATCTGTTTATCTGTCAATATGTTTTATTATTGGTGCATTAAGAGTGGTATCTATAGTCTTCAGTGCCTGACAACATCTTCCATAGAAATTTAAAAAACAAACAAAAAATGCATGACCACATACTGATAATATAAAGGATGATGGTTTGGATATGAGTTGTCCCCCAAAAGCTCATGTGTGAGACAATGCAAGAAAGTTTAGAGGAAATAATTGGGTTATGAGTCTTGACCTAATCAGATTAGAGTATTGATTCCCTGATAGGGATTAACTGGGTGTTAACCGTAGGCAGGTAAAGTTTGGCTGGAGGAGATAGGTCACTGGGGACATGCCTTTGGGGTAATATATTTTGTCCTTGCTGAGTGGAGCTCTCTCTCTACTTCCCAGTGTCCTGAGCTGCTTTCCTCTGCCAAGCTCTTTTGCTGCCACAATGTTCTGCCTCACATGGAGCCTCAAGGAATGGAGCCAGCTGTCTATGGATTGAGACCTCTGAAACTGGGAACCCCAAAATAAACTTTTCCTCCTCTAATTGTTCTTGTCAGGACTTCTGGTCATAGCAGTAAAAAAGCCGACTAAAACAACCAGGTTCTTCGCCTCTGACAGGATCTTTAGCTGCTCTGAGCATGATCTTTCAATTATGATAAAAATGAATTGCTATAAGGTTCAACTGAAATAATGAATTAAAGTGGCAACCACATGTATACACAGTGGATGATAGCTGAAACTACACGAACAAACAGCGTAAAGGAATTACTTTTCTGCCATTTCTGTGAGAAATGTAAAATGGTTTTCCAAATACCAAATCCAAACTCTATTACAGAAGAATTCACATCTAAGTCTGGGTTAATTTTAATAGCTTTCTCTCAATAAAGTTAATTATTAAATTTTCAGAAACATAGAACAGAAAAGGTGGGAAACTATAAAAAAAGAAATAAGATAATTCAGATCAGATAAAAGTGCTTATCACCTCAAAAGCAGCTACTTACATGCAAAAACTCCATAACAACTTTGTCAAATTTGGTTTGTTTCTGAATATGATCTAATGTTTCTTGGTGTGAAGAACTTTCTAGATGTAGTTCGATATCTTTTTCTTCAAAGGTTCGAAATTTGCAAAATGAGCATGTGAATGCCATTCTATGAAGAAAAAAAGTTTTACTTTAAATATTACCATTTCCTCTTAGAGAATACACCAATGAAACTAATTTTACCACATAAATCATTTCTTTTTTCCATTTTATGACTTATTTTAATTTAACTTAAGTCAGAAAAATATAGTCTATTTGAACAGCACTGTTATTATACCATTTTTCATTTCTGGCCCACCTTGGAATTAATACAATTAAAGGGCCAAAGCAAACAGAGGACTATTAAATTCCAAAGTTCTACAACTTATTTTACATTTGTATCATCAACAAAGCAGGTAGCAAACCAAACAACGTAACTCTTGGATGATCAAAAGTTCTACTCACTATACGACATTTCAGGGAAAATAATAGGCCCAACCTAGACAAATGCATATATTTGTAAGCTGAAGAGCCATATCAGAATGAATTTCCCCATTGTTTCTACTTTATCATAATATATCATTTCTTTTTCCTTGAATTATGTCAATAGTCTCCAAAATGGTTTCTGACCACAATCTTCATTTTCCAATTAATTCCCCACACTGCTATTGGATTTATTTTCCTGGTTCATACTATGGGCTCTAGAGTCAAATGCTGGGTTTATATCCTGGCTCCCTTATGTGAGATTGAGCAAATGATTTAACTCTGGCTCAGTTTTCTTATCTTTATGAAATGAGATTTCTCATAGAGATGCCATAAGGATTAAAAAAAGAAAAATTATTACATATAAAGTCCTTAAAACAGCAATTGTTCAATTAATTATTATTACTTCCTAATCTGGATAATACCACAATTACTGCTCAAATGCTTGAATGACTCCTTGTCCATCAAAAAACAAAGTCAAAAATGCTTTCAGCTGCCTAATCTCTCCTCTTTTGACTTTACATACCAATACCTTTAATGGAATCTAGGACACAGTATGTCTTTATTAAATGTTTAAATTACATTATACCTTTTGCCCTACTGCACTCACTTTAATCTATATAGCTTTTCATTTTCTGAATATAAAAAAAAAAACACACACACATTTCTTTGCTTTTATCTCAAGCCAAGCACTCCACCTACACTGCCTCTCACAGCTCCTGCAATCCTACCATTTCTAGATTAGTACAAATACCACTTTCATAAAGTACCCTTCCCTGATTTACCTGCACTCTTATTTACAAGTTCTTGCTCATAAAACTACCTTGTACGTCTTCTTGCACTCTTCACCATATACTGTTATTTGTATACATCTCACACACATCTATCCCTTTCTTCCTAGTTTCCCTTAAACACATACACATAGTTACGTTTCCATCTTCTTTATATTAAGAACATTCAAGTAATCAAAGGAACATATCACAAGAATAGTAGTCATTTACAGTCAATCTCTAATACTTCTAACTCAGAGAAAAACTGCTCTGGTAAATTAAAATAATTTGGGGTTATTTTAAAGGGTTCTTATCCTAATATGACAACTTAATTGAACTGACATTCTATTGGTTATATCATCAGGTTTTTATTTATAGTTATGAAGAAAACAGCTAAATGAAAGTTGAGTTCTTTGATTTTCTCCAAATCACAATATTTATTATATTAACATGAATGTCATATTCAAATCTATAATTTAATGGGGAAAATACTCCTAGGTTAATTAAACATAAAAATTAATCTTAAAATGCTAATTCATCTTTTGACTCCTAAACATTTGATACAAAGTATTGACTTTAATTCATTTCCATATTAATAACTATGCCCATTACCTCTGTCACAAGAAGGAATTATAAGAAATGAGAAGTGGAAAAGATATTCATAAATACCAAAAACAGCAGTCCTCTTAAAACTAAAACTGCTTTTTATGGATCAATTCTTAATAAGGTTAATCTTATTATTACTCAAATTCCAATAACAAAACCCAGGAACAACAAATCAAAAAAGAATAGGTTATTAATGCTAGATACAAATATTACACAAGTATAATTAACAGACTAAAATAAAAAACAAATACAAAATAATCTGGGTCTTCAGATATAACTGAATTTTCTTTTCCACATTTTACATAAATAAAACTAATACCTATATAATTACCAAGGATTAACAAAAAGTTACCTATTTAATATCGAAGAAACTCACTCTTTAAAAAAGGATCTCTTAATATTAAAAGTTTTTCAAATTCTAAATTCTTTTAGAGGAAATTTTGGTTACTTACAAAATTATGTGAAACACTTCTTTCTCTTCTTGCTACACCAATAAGTTAACATTTAAAGAACAAATGCATATTCTAAATGGGAAATTTACTGAATTTCCATTGTAAATTTTATATCCTAGCATAAGTAGAACCTTATGAGAAGACTGCAAGAAAATGATGGAAAAAATATCAATGATAGTCTTTTTGAAATAATTTCTAGGCCCCATTTTCTCTCTTGGAGGTGGCCCGCTCCATGCACCCTCAGTGTTATTCCACGTCATTAAATAAGTCCTTTATACTTGGTAAAAAAAAAATAAAAATAAAAACTTCTACTAGTCCTTTTCTCCAATGCATAATTTGCATTTTATATATATATATATTTCTATTTTGCCTGCATTTTTCTCCATGCTATCATAAATTTTATCATCTTCATTTTTAACAACAACCTAAAAACCCTAAAGGAATGTGTCAAAACTTCCATCTACTTGCTCACTTTCTATAGTTGGTTTTATTTCCTGTTTAGAGCTATTACAAAAAAATGTTGCAATGGGCATATATGTTTAGACTACACTCTCTATGTTTTTATATTATTTTCTTGGAAAGGTTAATGGGTACAGAGAAATTTACGACGAAAGAAACAAAGAAAAATGGAAAGGGAGGGGAAGAGAGAAAGGGGAAGGAAGGAAAGGAGAGAAGGAGGAAGGAAGGAAGGAAACTGCTAATTGCTTTCCAATGGTAACAATATTATACATACATTTTTTTTTTTCCCAATACTGGGTAATGAACCCAGAATCTTGTACATGCTAGGCAAGCATTCTGTCACTGAACTACCTCCTGCCCTTTTTAGTTTACTTTGAGACAGGATTTCACTAAGTTGCTGAAACTAACCTCAAATTTGTGATCTCTCTGCCTCAGTAGCTGGGATTATAGCGCTGTGCCAATACACCTGGCGGCAGCAGAATTTTAAGTGTCTTTCGACTGTACCTTAGTTCACAAATAAATACGTTCTCTTCACTAATAAAATAGCATATTATTATTTGCATTTTCTGGTTCCTTAGATTACTGTCTCAACATTTCTCCACAAGTTATTAACTACTGTTGTTCCTTGACCACGTTAAGTACTGGACATCTTAGTTCTCATACTTTTTTAAAAAAAGTTTGAACTCAGCTACTTGGGAGGCTGAAGTGGGAGGATCAACTTGAGCCCAAGATTTTAAGACCAGCCTGGGCAACACAGGAAGACATCTTTACCAAAGAAAAATCGGATGATTTTTATCTAATTTAGACATAAGACATTTCCCAAGATTATATTTTCAAGATTGTTTGCTTGTTTTGCAAGTCTGTATTTAGCCAAATTTGTTCATTATCTCATTTATTAACTTATTCAGTAACAAACTTATTAGGGGAAAAAAATTTATACTTGAAGAGATTAAAGTACTCCAATTATTTTCCTGTAATTTTCCATTATTTTTAGTAATCTATTTGGATTTATTCCAAACGGTAAACGAGAATCTAAACTGATTTTTTTCCTTATTATTTTGCTGCTTAACCAAATCCTTTTGTTTTTATTACAAGTTTACATTCCTACATATAAGGGAATCTGTTTACAGGCTACTAATTGTTATATTGATTAGCCTATTACCACTTGTGTGTGTGTGTGGCGCCAGAGATTGAATCCAGAGCCTCACATATGCTAGGGAAGCACTCCAGCACTGGGCTACATTCCCAGCCTTACCACATATTTTAAACTACTATAGCCTTTTAATAGTCTCAATATCTAAAAAAGCCAATATCTACTCATTTATTCTTCTTTTTCAGAATCTGTTTTGGGATCTAGATAGAAAAAAACATATTATTTGGGTTCATTTTGTTGTGGGGGTGGTGGTACTGGAACTTGAACTCAGGTGCCTTTTATATCCCAGGTCCTTTTCATTTTTGAGAAGGTCTCACTAAGTTGTCTCGGCTGACCTCAAACTTGTGATCCTCCTGCGTCATCGTCATACTCCTGAGTCACTGGGATTACAGGCTATGCCACCACACCCAGCTAAGAACAGGATCAGCTCTCTGATCCAAAAATATCAGTAATAATCAGATTTTCTATCAAAAAATATCATTATGTCTCCATATAGCCAAAATTCAAAACTTCATAGTTTTCTTCTGTAATAAGTATTTATTAAATAATTCTATAACAAGTATTTCTTTTTAAAAATAGTTATTTCTATATATTTTATATTTTTGGGTTACCATTATGAATTGGATCTTTTTTCTTATACTAATAGGTGATTACATATAAATATTAAAAAGCAAAAAATTCTATATATCTTTGATCAAACTTTTTCACTTGACTTTTAAGAATTTTTTCATATTCCAATTCATAAACTTGCCTTAACCAGGAAACTATTTTTCAATAAGCCCATTTTTTATTTTTGTAACTCTACTAAAAACAAACCCACAGGCTTGAAATCCCAGCGCCTGGGGAGGCTGAGATAGGAGGATCGCTAGTTCAAAGCCAGCCTCAGCAATGGTGAGGCGCTAAGCAACTCAGTGAAACCCTGTCTCTAAGTAAAATACAAAATAGGTCTGGGAATGTGGCTCAGTGGTCAAGTGCCCCTGAGTTCAATCCCTGGTACCAAAAGAAAACAAAAAAACAAACCTGTATCCATCTCCATATTTCTCACTGTTTTTTTCTCTTCTGCGCCTTTGTTTCTCTCGCCGAGCCTCAATCCGCCTCTTTTCTTCTTCTTCACTTTTAGGATCAGTTTTTGCTAGGATATCAAACAAAGAGTCAGAACTAAAAATCATTTTTTTCATTTTCCCTTTTCAAGTACCAGATTATAATAAAGTATAGACATGACAAAGATTCCTTAGTGATCACAATCTAAATTGAATTCATCAGAAAAATTTAAGAGTTGAGACTACCCACAATTTCAGAAACTGCACTGAATAAATTTCATTTGCTTTAAGGATCATAATCTTGCAATATTTGCTTCTCGTCTAGTAAATCTGTTCATTTTTTTCTTATCCTTACTCTAAGCAATAATATCCTTGTTACCTTAAATTATCTTGCAAATCACATATATTTAACACTGAAGAAATTGACCCAGAATGAAAATAGAAGTCCAATGAACACCAGAAAGTCCTAGATGCAAGAATTCATATTCTTATTATAAGAGCATGCCCAAAATTGCAAAATGTCTCTAATTTTGTGATAATATGTACAAAACATAAAATTTACCATTTAACCACCATTCTGAAGTGTCCAATACAGTAGCTTTAAGTACATGCACATGTTATACAACCATCACCACTATCTAGTTCCAGAACTTTTTCATCAGTCCGAAAAAACCTTAGTAGCTATTAAGCAGTTATTCCCTATTTCAACCCTACTCTAAAGTTCTAGTATCTACTAATCTACTTTCTGTTTTCTGGTTATTTCACTTAAATAGAAACAGCATTGTCTTGCCTTTTTCTATTTAGCTTCTCTTATTTAACATGTTTTCAAAGGTTATCCATGCTATACTATGTTATAATGTATACTGTTTTTTTAAAAATCTATTCACCTGCTTGATGAAATTTTAGATTATTTCCATCTTTCTGCTACTGAACTATACTGCTACAAATATTATTCTACAAATCTTTGTTTGAACACCTCTTTTTAATTTCTTAGGATATTTACCCCTACAAGTGGAATTATCGGGTCCATTCAGTTTGAGGAACCACTCATCTGTTTCCCAGAGTGGCTATACCACTTTATATTTCTACCAGTAGTGTATGAGCATTCCAGTTTCTCCATATCCTTTCCAATATTTGTTACTTTTTTTTAAAATTAGGACCACCATAGTGGGTATGGAGTAGTATCTCATTGTAAGCAGACTCTCTTAAAATACATTAAACCTAACATCTAAAAAAAATCCTAACCCATTTGCCCTTACACTTTTCCTTTCAGCTTAACAATAAACACATTTTAAACACTTGCTAAGTACACAATGGGATGTTTTAAAATTATACAAAATCAATGTCTTAAAATTTAATATCTAATTTTTCATGATTTATTAGAGCTTAAATGTATGTTTTTTAACCATTTTTCAATACCCTCATGATTCACAGATTTCCCTCACACCCTCAACGTAAAGTTCATTTATATATTACTTCAAACAAGAATTAAATTTCCCTTCCTATGCTAAAAATATTGATTTTTTTTTTACCTCCAGGCAAATTAAAGAATATGGTTCCTTTTTTATTAATTTTCTATCAAACATACAGTCTATACTACTGTAACATAGGAAGAACTCATATACTGGAAAATTCAGTACATATCCTTTAAGTTATCCATTTCATGCCTGAAAAGAGAAGGCATACCTGAAGAGAAGGCTTGATTTAACTAAAGAATTCTGGCTTCACTCTTAGCTACCCCTGTACTACTCTCAAGTTTTATTAAGAAGAAAAAAAGGATAAGAGGGAAAGGACATATATCTGCCTTAATGGTAAGTCAGTTTCTATAACAAACTTTGCAATATTTACATAACTGTAATTGTAATTGTAAAATGCATCTTTCAAATCTGTTCCAAGAAGACCAATTAGCTGAATTATCTTATTCTACTAATACCAGGGAAAATTTCTTACATGGTAAATAAATATCTATCAATGAACACACTATAAAAGGTACCCCCCAGCTGGGCATAATGGCGCACACCTGTAATCCTGGTGACCTGGGAGGCTGAGGCAGAAGGATACCAAGTTCAAAGCCAGCCTCAGCTACTTAGCAGGGCCCTAAGCAACTCAGCAAGACTCTGTCTCAAAATAAAAATATAAAAAGGGCTGGGGTTATGGCTCAGTGGTAAAGCACCTCTGGGTTCAATCTCTGGTATAAAAAAAGGTACTCCACTAACTTGGTATCAGATTGTCAAAATATATTTCTGGCAGTGCTGGGGATTAAACCAGGTCTCATGCATGTTAGGCTAGTGCTCTACCACAGAGCTACATCTCTAGTCCCAGAATGTTATTTCTCATTAAATAATGTAGGTATCATAACAGGAAAGTAGATTTAAGTATAGTATTTAATCCTCATCCTAAGTTTTACATTATAGTTCATAAATTTTGAGGAAAGAATCTAATATTGTAACTTCAATTTTAAAAATATAAAATCAAAATGTCTATAATGTCATAATTAGGAAAAAAAAGTTGTTTAAAAATAAAAAGAGGGCTGGAGTGTCCAATCCAGTAGCATTAAGTATTACTTAATGTGCCTCAGTGGTAGAGTGCTCACCTACCATGCATGAGGCACTGGGTTTGATCCTCAGCAACACATTAAAAATAAAAAATAAAGATATTGTTTCTACCTAAAACTAAAATATAAATATAAAAATAAATAAATAAAAGGAAATATAAATTTCCGTTATAAACATTTGGAAGCTTAAGAGCAGGGTTTCTGTGAACCAAAACTTGCCGTGAAACAAATCCTGGATTTTAGCCATTTACTGATTATCTAAACTAGGTGGCAAATTATTTATCTGTTCTATTCCTGCTGCGTCAGCTGTAGAGAGGTCTGATACCCACACCCATACCTGAGCAAGTTCACGTGAGAATTATAAAAGTAATGTACACTATGCTCTCTAACAGTGTCTGAAGTCCAATAAGCATTCAATTAGTGCCAGCTTACTATTATTAGCAATTACTAAAATCCCATTTTTAATAAAGATATTTATCAATCCTTAAGCAACTTAAATGGAGACAAAATTTTAAAAACAAACATACTGTATTTCAAAAATATATAATATAAACACAAGTTTTTAAAAAATCTGGACTTACTTAGGTCTTCATGCTTTTCTCCCTCTTCCCTTTTTGGGGAAATTACTTAAAGGCTATCCACCACTTTCTTAGCAATTCTGACAGCAAAAAACACACTCTAAAACATTCACTGTAATCCTCACTACATCTTATTTTTAAAAGTAAGTGTAAAAACATCAAAAACTTTCACCAGAACTTGAAAAGATTCATTTATTACAATGATCTAAACCTTCTTCAGCTCCAAATGAGTTATGTAATTAATTATTAATCCTGAAGAGAGTAACTTTTGCACCTTTGCAATACCACCTACTTAAGAAAGACAAAATACTTTAGTAATCAAGGCAAAAATTTGAAAAATAAAAGTAATTCAATGCACAGGCAAAACATTTACTGTATACAATTTTACTATTATGTTTTCACAGAATGCTGATAAATATATTTCCTTAGCTTTTTTATTTATATCCTTGGCTTATTATAATTTGTTCAGATATACTTGCCCCCATTTAGAGATACGTCACAATGTTAAACAACAAAAGTAACAGAGAAACATAAATAAAAGTAATGAGAAAAAAAGAGTAATTTGGTTCTGTGCTTTAAAAAAAAGAGCTTTATGGAATATAATTCCTTCTAAATTATACGATCCAATAGTTTTCAATGTATTCACAGATACGTGCAACCATTATCACAATCAATTTTAGAACATTTTTATCAACTCAAAAAAGAAACTGGATATTCTTCAGGTAATACCCAACTCCTCACCCTACTGCCCAAAATAATCATTTTCTATTCTCTATCTCTAAAGGATTTCCCTATTTTAAATGTCCGTATGAATAAATCATATAATATATGGATTTTTATGACTGGCTTCATTTAATTACCATAATCCTTTCAAGGTTCATTCAAGTTATAGCAGGATCAGTATTTCATTCCATTTTATAACCAAATAGCACTCTGCTATATGGAAAGACCCTATTTTGTTTATCCATTCATCTCATAATGATATCTGGATTTTTATCCAGTTAGCTACTATAAATAATGCTGCTATAAACATCCATATACAGTCATACGTTGCTAAACAACCAGGCTATGTTCTGAGAAATGCATCATTAGTCTATTTTGTTATGTGAACATCACAGAGTGTATTTACACAAACTTAGATGGTATAGTATACTACACATCTAAAATATATGATATATATCATTCTATATGTACTTATCATTGACCAAAACATCTTTATGAAGTATATGACTGTATGTTTATGTTTGAACTGATATTTTCATTTATGTTTGATATAAACATAGAAGTGGAATTGCTGGGTCATTTGATGATTCTGTTTATTCATTTCAAGAATTGCCAGACTATTTTCCAAAGTGGCTTCCCCATTTTACATTCCCACTAAAAGTGTACAAAGGTTCTAATTTTTCCAGATCCTTGTTAAAACTTAGTATCTTTTTTATTCTAACCATGTATGTGATTGCAGTCTTGATTTGCATTATCTGATACCTAATTATTGAGTACCTTTTTATATGCTTATTGGCCACTTATATATCTTTTTTAAAACAAATTTCTGTTCGGATTCTTTACCCACTTTTGAGTTGTCGTTTTGTTACTGAGTTCTAACAATTCTTTATACATTCTGGATTCAAGTGCTTTCCAGATGCACGACATACAGAAATAATTTTCTCCTATTATATAAGTTGTTTTTTCATTTTCTATTGATGGTGTTCTTTGAAGCACAAAGTTTTAATTTTGATAAAGACAATTTACCTATTTTTTGTTGTTCATCTTGTCTTACAAATTCCTTGCCAAATCCAAAATCATGAAAATTTATCCCTATATTTTCTTCTAAGAGTTTTATAGTTTTAGATCTTCCAAGTAGGTCTTGCATTTTAGCTTTGGCATGTGGCTAGCCAGTTATCAAAAATACTATTTTCACCTCTACAATGAAAACTACAGAACACTGAAATTAAAGAATACCTTGGAAGATGAAAAGATCTCCCTATCTCCGTTGTTCTTTTTTTTTTATTACACGTTTATTTTTTTGGTTGTAGTTGGACACAACACTTTTATTTCACTTGTTTATTTTTGTATGTGGTGCTGAGGATCGAACCCAGGGTCTCACACGTGCGAGGCGAGCGCTCTATCGCTGAGCCACAACCCCAGCCCTCCCTTGTTTTTAGATAGGCAGAATTTATATTGTCAAAATGACCATACTACCAAAAGCATTATACAGATTTAGTGCAATTCCAATCAAAATCCCAATGACATTCCTCATAGAAATAGAAAAAGCAGTCATGAAATTCATCTGTAAAAATAAGACACCCAGAATAGCTAAAGCAATCCTTTGCAAAAAGAGTGAAGCACCAAAAACATACACTGGAGAAAAGATAGCCTCCTCAACAAATGGTGCTGGAAAAAATGGAAATCCATATGCAACAAAATGAAATTATACCCTTATCTCTCACCATGGACAAAACTCAACTCAAAGTGGACCAAGAATCTAGGAATTAAACCACAGACCTTGTATCTAATACAAGAAAAAGTAGGCCCAAATCTCCATCATGTTGGATTAGGCCCCTACTTCCTTAATAAGATTCCTATAGTGCAAGAATTAAAATCAAGAATTAATAAATGGGATGTATTCAAACTAAAAAGCTTCTTCTCAGCAAAAGAAACAATCAGTGAGGTGAATAGAGAGCCTGCATCTTGGGAGCAAATTTTTACCACTTGCACAACAGATAGGGCACTAATCTCTAGGGTATATAAAGAACTCAAAATGCTAAACATGAAAAAAACAAATAACCCAATCAATAAATGGGCCAAGAACTGAACTGACACTTCTCAGAAGAGGATATACAATAAATCAACAAATACATGAAAAAGATGTTCAACATCTCTAGCAATTACAAAAATGCAAATCAAAACTCACTCTAAGATTTCATCTCACTCCAATCAGAATGGCGCTATTAAGAACACAAACAACAATAAGTGTTGGTGAGAATGTGGGGGGAAAGTACACTCATACATTGCAGGTGGGACTGCAAATTAGTGCAGCCAGTATGGAAAGCAGTATGGAGATTCCTTGGAAAACTGGGAATGGAACCATCTTTTGACCCAGTTATCCTACTCCTCAGTCTATACCCAGAGGACTTAAAAACAGCACAAAACAGGGACACAGCCACATCAATGTTTATAGGAGCACAATTCACAATAGCTAAACTGTGGAACCAACCTAGATGCCCTTCAGTAGATGAATGGATAAATCAAATGTGGTATATATATATATATATACACAATGGAATATTGCTCAGCAATAAAAGAGAATAAAATCTTGGCATTTGCAGGTAAATGAATCGAGTTGGAGAATATAATGCTAAGTGAAGCAAGCCAATCCCAAAAATCCAAATGCCAAATGTTTCCTCCGATGCAAGGAGGCTGATTCATAGTGGGGTTGGGAGGGGGAGCAAAGGAGGATCAGATGAACTCTAGATAGAGCAAAGGGGTGAGAGGGCAAGGGGGGCATGGGGGTAGGAAAGATGGTGGAATGAGATGAACTTCATTACCTAAGTACATGCATGAAGACACTAGTAGTGTGAATATACTTTGTATACAACCAGAAATATTAAAAATTGTGCTCTATATATGTAATATGAACTGTAATGCATTCTGCTGTCATACATAACAAATTAGAAAAAAAAAAACACAACTATTCTCTCTCCATTGAAAAATCTTGATGCCCTTGTTATAAACCAGTTCTCCACAAATGTCCGGGTTTATTTCTAGACTTTCAACTCTACTCCACTGATCTAAATACACTGTCTTGATTACCATCACTTTGTGGTAACTTTTGAAATCATGAGGTGTAAGTACTTACACAATTGGAATTTTGATAGAGATTGTGATGAATCTATAGATCAGTTTAGAAAGTAATGTCATTCTGACAATTTTGTCTTCTAACCTAGTTTAGTTTTTCCATTTGTTTAGATTGAATATCTTACAACGTTGTATAATTTTCAAAATTTAGTTTTCCTTTTTTTAAAAATGTATTCCCAAGTAATGTATTATTCTTGATGCCTTTTTTTTTTTTTTTTTTTTTTTGAGATAAGGTCTTACTATGTAGCCAAGGCTTTTCTCAAATTCCTAGGTTTAAGTGATGCTATGACTACAGCCTCCCAAGTAGCTGGAACTACAGATCACGTCCCCCTGCCTGGCTTGATGCTATTATGAGTAAAACTTTAATTCCATTTTCAGTTTGGCTCAAAATTTTGCACTGGTCAATGAAATTATGGCATTTGCAGGTAAATGGATGGAGTTGAAGAATATCATGCTAAGCGCAAAATAAGTCAAACCCAAGAAAACCAAAGGCTGAATGTTATCTCTGATAAGCAGATGCTAATCCATAATGGGGTGGGAGTGGGGGAGGAAGGAACTTTGGATTGTGCAGAGGGGAGTGAGGGGAGAGGAGAGGATGATGGGGATGGGACAGACAGTGGAATGAGACAAATATTATTACCCTAGATACATGTAGAATTGCACTATCTGTATGACTCTACATCATGTTCAGAGAGAGAAAGAGAAGCTGTGCTCCATTTGTGTATAATGTGTCAAGATGCACTCTACTGTCATGTGTAACTAATTAGGACAAATTCAAAATTTAAAAAAAAATTTGCACTCATCAATATATAAATAGAAATATCTCTAAGAGTCATCATGTCCAGAAGATTAAAAGCAAATGAGTTTTCTAGAACAGTTTTCCCTATTATCAAGGACCAGGAAAATTTTCCTTTGTCCTCACAAAGAGATTCTATCTGACATAACAAACCACTCTTCATTAACAATGCCTTCAACAAAAACTATAACAGCCAATTAAGGGGTGTGAATCAAAATTATGTGTATTACCTTTTTACAAATACAGATGTTCGGGTCCCACCTCACACTACTCAGAAAAAAGATCTAGACAAGGGTGTGTAAATTTAAAAAGTATTTCTGGGCAGTCATAACTAATTAGTAACTATACTAGGGATTCACAGATCTAATGTGCATATTTCCAATTTCCAAACGGAAACACTGAAAAATTACCTTAAAGCAATAAATTTCAAAAAATAAAGAGTATCCTAAACCATAGCAATTATGTTTTCTTACTTACTAGGCGATTTGCTGAGGCTCATCTTCTCCATAGGTTTTGCTAGCTTAGGTTTCTTGATAAAGGTTCCACCGGGCTTATTAAATGGCTGCATCATTTTTCTCTTTATTCCTCTTGCAGCAGCAACTGTCACATTGGTGGGTTTGTTTTGATAGTCAACAACAATTCCAGGTCTATGAATGCTTCCAAAATCACCCATATGCTGTAAATTTGTGAAATCAAAAAATATCAGCATCTTGTCCAACGATAAAATATAAATTCATATAAAATTTTCACTTTATCTATTTACTAGTTTTCACCTGAAAATTCCCTGAAATGTAACTAAATTTTACATGTCCACTTGGAAAAAAACACATTAAAAAGCTTTGTAAAGTATTACATGAACTTGAATCCAGTGAATTAGTGTTTTTACTTCCAGTAGAACAAATGTGAATATTTCCTACTTTTTGATTTTTACAATTCAAAATTATCTGAGATCATGAACAACATATGTGCCTGTCAGAAGGTTACCACTTGTACAACTCTCTGACAACTCCTCTTCAGAGTTCCTAATTGATGTTTTTCCATGAAAAGACCTTAAAAGAAATCTTTATTTTACTAAAACCTGGCTAAAAGCTAAGATACACAAAGAAGATCATATTTGTAGTTTGAAGTAAAAAAGATCCAGAAATCATTTAGGATTTCTCCCTGTTGAAAAAGGGAATGAGAAGGCGAGATGGAACATTAGTATGAAATAGGAGAGTTAAAGCATAACCATGCATCAACTTCCAAAACACACTTCAGATAAAGAATTGCATCTGACGTTCCATTCACATTCTTACCTAGAGAAACATTCTGACCCAGAAGCCCAAGAAGCAAAAGTTTACAGACGAAGAGTCATGCCACCAAACGACTCTTTATATCCCTTCCTCTTCTCTTACCATTAGCAAACTCCACTACACCAAGAAGTCACATGTACACAGAAATTTATTCTGCTAATCTTACTTTTAGAAGATAAAGATTGAGGAGTAATCTGAAGAGAAGGACCCAATGGGAATTGTACAAGTGAAGATTAAAAATGAAGATCCTACTTGGCTCATCTACTTGGTTAACAGGAGGAAAGAAAGAGAAGTCCATTCAGACTAGAATGTATGTAAATACAAAGTACAGGAATACTTGATTTACTATCATGAAAACAAAATTGACATGTGAGGTTCTTATTAGGAAAAAAAAATCCTTCACCTAACATATTAACAATGTTAAGTGTTTTCCAATTTCCAAACTGGAATGAATTTTCAATTTCAAAACCCAAAGGAAGTCTATTACCACTCTGACTACTTTCAATTAACCTACAATCATCAAATATGGTGGAAGAGCAACACGGTTGCTTACACTTGTATATTATGGCTTAGGTATACCTAACTAACCTAGTAGTTTCATATTAACCTTTTTTGGTAATCTATGTAGTCACATCAGAAAAATCTTTGTTAACTATCCATTAAAGGTGCAATGCATTTTACATAAGTAAAGAGTAACTGTTAAAACTGCAAAATTTCTACACAAGTATGACAAACTATACTGTTGTACCAAGGGCTAATGAACAGTCAAAAATATGTGCTCTACTACATTTTTTATTACAGGTACTTTCCTCTGCAGAGAATATTAAGAGCAATTGCCTTCCAAAGAAATTCTTACATTATAGCAAAAATACAATAGTCTTTAATATGATCAAACTAAATAATCCCAAAATCTACATACACTTACTAGGTAAAATTTTATATCGATCCCATAACCTAAAAACATAAAATATAATCTCTATATTTCCTGAAATTAAACACCTGAGGACTAATATATATACTCATTTAAGTAATTATTTACAAAATATTACTGTCTAGGAAGGAGCCATAAACATGTCTTACATTTTATAGGTAGAAAATTATTTCTCAATAGTAAAGCTAGAGACACAAGGGGAAATAAAGCAACCACCAACAGGACATATTGTAAGACAATAAGTTATCAAAATTATACTGACCACAAATCATTCTACAATCTATTATACACATCGACTTCACCATGCTCTCCTGATTTATCACCAACTTTTAGTCTCTTGTGTTTAAGGTGAAACACAGAGCTCTAAAGAAAATCTAACTGCTAGGGTTTAGTAACAAAGAATAAACATTTTATCATACATTGCACCTTTAACCTACTCAAAAGCTCAAAAAGGGTTCAGTTACCTTTTACAATAATCCAAGAACTGTCTCACCAGCAAAACTGCTAGTGTTTACAAGGAAAAATGCAACTCCTTTTAACCCCTTTTAGACCAAACCTAACATCCTCACCTTTGTAATAAAGGGAGATATGGCATAATTTTATGAACATTCATCTCAAACTGCCACCTATTTTCTGAGGTGCTGGAAAAACTTTTATAGTCAACCTAAAACTTATGTTTATGACTCAGCTTTTGCTTAAAATACACTGGGATGAACAGTGTTTATTCTAGTTGAAAACCATGGTCTTGAAAGGGTTTAAAAGAGTTGACTAGTGAAAAGAATCTGAAAAGATTCTGTTGTACTTACTCCTCGGCCTCGGCCTCTGCCTGTTGATGGTCCTCCAAAAGCATCATAGTTTCTGCTTCCAAACGTACTTTCAGGATAAGCAGGCGTTCCTCTCCCCCGAGAGCCTACAGGTGCAGGCTTCATATGGGGTGAAGAAAAACTGCTGTAGGAAGAGTAATTCTCTCTTCCTCTGTCCTCCATAAACCCAGGCCTCAATTTTGAACGGGAGTAAGGTGCTTCCCAGCTAGACCCGCCCTGGTTTCTACCTCCGAAAGAGTCAAGGCTATTCCGGTAGGAGCTCTCAAATCGACCACCATAACTACCTCCGAAGCGGCTTTGTTCGGGTTCATTAAAACCATAGCCAGATCTGTACAGATCTCGCCCACCCAGAGAAGACCTGGAGTCGTAAGACTCATAAGGTCCAAACCTGGAAAAGTTGCACAGTAAGGGAAAAAACAAAAGTAAGCTTACTAATGTTAGACAATTCAAAAGACAAATTATCAGATGACATTTATCAACTAAAATTCATTTATACCATACTGATTTGCACAGTTCTACTTTTGTTCACACTTGATTAGGGCTGGGCAGTTCAACATGACACCAGATAGAAAGCTATCTGAGTCAGTTTCTAAATATGAATTGATAATAGTATACCTTAGCTTAAATATCTGCTTTTTAGCAGCATTTCAATTTGATGAAGAAAAGATTTGTCTGTGATTATTTAAGCCCAGCCCTAGTCTTAGAAAAGGTCATTTGCTAAAGTTCACAAACTATTCAAACTTTCTTTGACACCATCCCTAAATTGAAAATCACAAAGCATTTACAATGTTTTGGCTTTCCATTGGGACACAAATTGAAGACTAAATAGATGTAGGCTATTTGTGACAGAGAGCGATCCTTTCGCACCCCCAATAATCTATTATCACAAAGCTGCCTCCTTGTGTCTGTAATAATCAAAATTTAAGGAATTATCTCAGGTTATAAAATTTTGACAATCTGCCAAACTTAGGCCAAGGTGAATAATCAATCCCTAATCACTTTTTACTTGTAGACTAGTAAACCTAACAAATCTAGAAGGATAAACACATAAACTAAAACATAAAAAGTAAAAGATCACCAACATATACCCTCTGCATATGATTTTTCAAGGCAGATGAGAAAGAACACATTTTAAAATGTCTTCAATTATTTGAAAAACTATTTCCTATCAGAAAATTATCACATTAAACTACTCTAGAAAAGGAGAGCACACAGTCTCCTTGATGTTTTAAGTCAACAGAAAAAAAAAGTCATCTTACTTCTCACAAAACTAAAACATAGATTACAAAAATTACTTGTTATCTTACAACACAGTTTTATAAAGGCCCACAATTACATGAGATAAACGATAACATCTACAGAAACAGTCTATGCACACATTACATTTACAACATAGTAGGGCAATAACTGACATTTCCAAGCATTTAAATGTGTTACATTACTTCAGTTAATTACAGATCACTAAATAGAAGATGCTATTCATTTTTAAATACTAGTAGTCATATAAAAATTATTCCTCTTCTCAACTACGTATTTCAAAACTTCTTCCACATAAGAAAAAAGTTAACTGTTCATTTTCTTGATTTTTCTCTACTATAAATCATAGTGGCACACTTGAAGCAGAAAGAAGAAAAGTAAGCATCATTCGGTCCATCATTAAGGAATCCGGATCCTTCAATTTATGCAGAAGGAACGATGATTTCAAATGTCTCCTAACTAGTTTTACTTAATATTCAGCAGGAAGCTTTGTGCCTCAAAAGTAGACCCCCCTTTCCTGAAATTCAGTCAATCCTGAAGTGTGTAGATAAACTTAAGTTTTACAAAGTATCAACCGTGATACAATCTAGACTGTAATCGAAGGTACCGTATATGAGGCTTTAATACAGTGCTCCTAACCTGGAGAACAAGTGTTTTGTAAACAGTAACTGCCAATAAATAACCTGGATATGATTTAAAGAACACTCTTATTATCACAATATGCTCTTACAACTTACTTTAGAATTAAAAAAAAAAAACTTTCTGAAATGTTTTTTATAGAAATTGAACGTTGCTAAACTGATTCATTTAAACCCATTCTCCGACTTTACATAACACCCCACATTTGAAAAGATATTTTTTCTTTAACTGTTAAGCTTCACAAGTAATATTTTTAGAAACAAATTTTCGTATCAGTTGTTCAGGACACTTTGGTAAGGAGTTAAAAGTAAAAGTTAAAAAAAAAAGAATTCACTGCTGAAGATAGAATATCTTACTCTATTATATTGAAATGATAATAGTTAGCTGAGTTTTCCATAAAATAATGTCTGGCAGTGCTCCTGAGATAATTTTTATGAGCATTAACACCTTTAAATATTTAAGGTGATTATTCAATTCTAAACAACAAAGTTCAAGAATTATAACATGCCTAAAGAATACTTAAAATAATGTATCCAGAATCTTATAGTTGTCTAATTATTTGGCCAAGTGATTAAGCAATTTACCTGCTACCCCCACCACCACCACTGTGATTGTCCATGCCATATGACTGGTTTAGGTAGGAATCCATGGATCTTTGACCCCCATAGGATCCATGGCCATAGTCACGATCCATCCCTATAAGAGTTTAAAAAGAAAAAAATTAAATGATGCTCACCTTTATTGGCACTCAAAAGAAGAATTTTTAGATAAATATCCTTGAATGTCAGACCTCCATAAGATCCAGGGCCATAATCACGATCCATTCCTAAAAGAGAGTCAATGAAGAAACTTTAATAATAAAATATATCATTTTCTTCAGAAAACTTGGCATAAAACAAGATATTCACATCAATCATCTGAGATAATAATTTTGTCATTAATTAAGCTAAACTCAAATATAAGACATTGAAAGAGAACACACCAAAACGACTACTTGCTAACAAAGCTTTGTATTTCAAAGAAAAGCATATTATCAACTACAAAATTCTATATTAGAATTATTTTTAATTTAACCAATACTTACTTGACTAAAAAAACTATGTTTACTATAAGGTCTTATATTTGGTATTACAGCATATATAATTAATAATACACGATTCCTATTCTCAAGATAAATCAGCATTTAATAAAGTGAAAAGAGATGATTTTTTGTCCTAAGCATGCTGTGACATAAACCTACTGTACTTAATCTTCTGCATGTAATTCTCCTCAAATGTCTAAAAACTCAGAAGCAGCTACATTTTTTACTAGCTCCATTCACATTAACTGAAACAGATATTTTAAAAAGTAAAATCACAGACTGGGATCAATCACTGGCACCATGTCTATAAATAATGACTCAACAAACAACAAACACTCAAATTCCCTTGAATAAAGGGAATGAATATGAATTCTAGCAATACAAACACTAAAAAAAGTTGTGACAACAAGGGTATTAGATATATTTTAATACACTGCAATTCTACCTATATCATAACCTCTGATATGAAAAATAAATACAATGAGGTAATAAAATTAACTTACATTAACTATAGAAATTTAAAATTAAAACTACTATTTAAAATGTTTCCTATAAAGTCCCTTAAAATGCCTCATTACTACCCTCCCCACATTTTAGGTACAACAGTGAATTTGTATACTTGAATTTATATTTTTAAAGCATTACTTATAATAATTTAATATTTCTAATAATGAGAAGAACTGAAAAATTGAGAGTTTTGTCATTTTAAACCTGGAAGCAACCTAAACTATCAAATTTAATCTTCTCATTTTATAGATTTGAGAAATGTGAAATGATTTCCCCCAAATCTCGTAGGCATACTCCTGTCTAGCTTCAAACTGTTGCTTATATATGAAACATTTTCTTCTACCACTCAAACACCTGCTTAGTGAAACCTTCTAATTTTTAAAGTCTACTTGAAATAATCGATCAATAAAACATTTACTGATATTGTCTCTCTACCATTTACAAAAGCCTGTATATCTTATGTGGTGCCATCATATTAAGTCTTATATTCTATTGTTCATGCCTTATCTTAAATACCAGTTTTGTGCTAAGGATCTGATATTTTAAGAATCTTATGTTTCAGAGAAACAGGCATGAGTTTATTAGTAGAGACAGAAAAAGGGAAAAGGGAAACATTCTCAAGGGAGACGGGCAGGTCCTCTAAGAGAGGAGAGAGACCACTAATTTTTTTATATATCTTATAGGAATAATTCTCATGAAATGGTCTGCTGATCCCTGGGATTCGCTAAGACCGTTAGCAAATCTAGGGATTCACAAGGTCAAAAATATTTTAATAAATAATAATAAGGCATTATTTGCCTTTTTCAGGGTGTTGACATTGAAGGTACAAAGTACTGGTGGGTAAAACTGCTGGCATTTCAGCCACAAATTAAGGCAGCAGCTGGCACCAGACTTAATATCACACACCCACAATGAAAAAAATAAATAAAAATATTACTTTCACTTAAATGTGCCCTTGATGAAGCAATAATTATTTTTATTACATCATGATCTTTGATGTAACCACATTTTTTTTACATTCTATGTAATGAAAGAGGAAGTATACATGAACCATTTCTGCAGCCTACCAAAACATCCCAGATCCTTCCAAGAAAAGCCATCCTCAAGTGTTTCATTTATGAATTAAATTAGCCACTTTTTACTAGGAAAGTGCTCTTTTCTAGAAAGACTGAAAGTCAAAAACTGGTTTTCAGACTTGAGCATGTAGCAAACATTTTCTCAAAAATGAACGAAGTAAACTGTTGCTTCAAGGAAAACAACTAAAGCTAAATGTTATTTGTTGCCAATGATAAAAATCATACCTTTAAGTGAAAATTAGAATTAAAAAAATTTTTATCAGTTTGACAGTGTGTCAATACTTCAATGTTTTTCTGATAAGACTGTTGTTAGTATTAAAGTGGTTTTTTAAATATCATACAATAAAACCTGTCTGCATAATGCAGCAAATGAATATTTTATAAATAACTAATATTACAGAATCATACATGGTAAAAAAGGTCCATTCAAAGTACAAGACATACCAATGGATTTTAATATAACAGAGTACAAAACATTTAGCAATATAAAAAAGCACTAATGAGATTTTTACATCGTTTGTTCATACTAAGGCTTCAAATACAGTACGTAATTTATTCATGGAACCTCTCATTTCAGACTACCCATATTTCAAGTGTTCAATAGTTTCCTATGATAATGGCTACCACAGTATGAGCAACACATTTCTACATTAATAAAATAGTCAATTATTTGTCTTAAATGTTTTAAGTATGTAGTATAATACACAACTGTTTTTCTCCTAGAGATAACAATTTTGAGATAAAGTTTAACATAAAAAAAGTTTTCCTCTAAGGACTCACATTAAAATATAATCTTAAGGACTGGGGTTGTAGCTCAATGATAGAGTACTTGCCTAGCACATATGAGGCACTGGGTTCTATCATCAGCACCACATTAAAATAATAAATAAATTAAATTGAATACACACAGGTATTGTGTCCATAAAAAAATTTTTTAAACATATAATCTAGGTTTAGTCAAACACAGAAAGCAACAAAATCTTGTTGTTTTTGCCATTTTTGAGTTAGCAGTGGCTGCCTCTGGGTACTAAACCCTTTAGTTATTTCCTTTTTCTTTAATTCTGTTTATTTTATTTCACTATGCTATCATAGAATAACTGACATTTACTGAACACTTTTATGTCAGGCACTATAGAGTACACAAAAAAATAACACTTCTTTTATCTCTTTACTATTAGTGTTAGATAAAAGACCAATTTACTCAGGACTTAATAAAACGGACCTATTAATTTGAATGAAATCCATGCTATTGCTTGGTTCACAATCATAGATTCCTAACTGGTTTTCCCACCTCTACTTTTACTAGCTTTTTGTTTATTCTGAAGACAAAAGCCAGAAAAATTCTGGCAAATGTAAGTTATATCATGTCCAATGCTCAATATCCTCCAAAAGCTTCCATCTTATTCCAAATAAAAGCCAAACCCTTAAAAAAAAAAAAAAAAAAAAAAACCAAAGGTCATATATCAGTGGTTCTTAATCAGGGGTAATTTGGGGCTCACAGAGACACTGGCACTGTCTGAAAGCATTTTTGATTATTACAACTGGGGCCAGAGAACAAGGATGCTACTAAACAAGTGTAGGGTATAACTTGAACAAACATACTTTGAAATAGCTCCCCAGAGGACTCTAATAATTACCCTCTGATGAGAACCACTACTGGAACTAAAATTAAGAGAAAAGAAGTCAGCATTAAATATCTTTTGTAACACTGTACATTCATAAGGAAAAAAATGCCTGGCCCTGAATGGTTTTGCATTTCACCTCCTTTCTTTAGACTGTAAATCCAATTCTTCAGGTCTTCTGTCTTTCCAAATCTCTCTTTGGTAAAAGCACAAGACCTACTCACTTCAGTTTAAAATCCTGAGTTCACTTTTCAACTAACAAGACATTGCCCCACAACAAAAAATTATCTAATTCAAAATGTCAACAGTGTCAAAGTTGAGGAAATTTACTCTATATGATCTGCCCCATTACCTCTTCACTTCAACATCCCTTGTGCATTCCAGCTACACTAGGCTCCTTGCAGTTTTCTAGAACAGGTGTATGCTAGTTTATGCACTTTGCAGCTTGCCAGGCCTGGAATACTCTTCCCCTATTGGCACTATTCACCTCTTTCTGGTCTTTTCTATAGCTTCCCATATATATGTAAATTACCTTTGATTTTCAATGCCTTCCGGCTACACCTCACCTCTCTGGCCTTAGTCTAAAGATTGCTCAGCAAAAATATTCTATTCTGGTCAAACCAGTTAAGTCTCTGAGAAGCACAGTATACTCACTCCTATCTTTGTTCATGCATTTCCCTCTACCTGGAAAGTTCTTCCTTTTTCTATCGGCTATTTATATAAAGAGTTATTATGAACAAAACGGAAAGCATGGAAACGCTGGAAATATAACTTCCTTTCAAAAAACAGTATGGAGGAAATCAGTATCTTGACATTTTCTCTGATGCCTTATACTTCATTTCAGTAGAAAGCTAGAAAATATGGTGCTAACAATGAAGTATATTGTTGGTTTCATTGGGTACCTACATATCTTTTATTTCCTGAAGTTCTTTCTCTAGATAGCCCTCAAGGTACGTCTAAGCTTAAATGTCACCTGTTTTGTGAGTCCTTCCCCAAATTCTTTAAAATCACAACTTACACATACACACCTGTCCCCCTTTCCTACCTTATTTTTCTCCCTAGCATTTTTTACCTAGCAATTTTAACATACAATATTTGTTACTTTTTTAATCTTGTTTTCTATCTCATACCATTTGACTGAAGTGCCACACAGGAAGGAATATTTATCCTTTTTTTTTTTTTTCCACTGCTGCAGTCCTAGCTCCTAGAAAAATATCTGATACACAGGAGTCACTAAATAAATATTTGTCCAATGAAGTCAAATCAAATTCCTAAAATTAGTTAACTTCCTCGCTGTGATATGTAATTAACTAAGACCTCAAGTATTTTCAATTAGTGGTCTTTAACCAGAGGTGAAAGCCAAAATAATTCATTCAGAGTACTTTTGCAACACATATATAGTCAGGGATAGCTTGCCCTAAAATTAAGTTTATGAAGTGTAGGGTATAACTTGAACAAACATACTTTGAAATAGCTCCCCAGAGGACTCTAATAATCACCCTCTGATGAGAACCACTACTGGAACTAAAATTAAAGAGACAAAAATTCAGCATTAAATCTCTTTTGTAACATTGTACATTCATAAGGAAAAAAAAATGTCTGGTCCTGAATGATTTTGCATTTCAACTCCTTTCTTTAGATTGTAAATCCAATTCTTCAGGTCTTCTGTCTTTCCAAATCTCTCTTTGGTAAAAGCACAAGACCTACTCACTTCAGTTTAAAATCCTGAGTTCATTTTTACTCAACCCTATCAAATTTTTACCCATTATTAGTCAGCTTACAAGTTCTATTAATTTTCTTAACATCATCATCTTTAAAATCTAAGGTCTTGGGGCTAGGACTATGGCTCAGCGTAAAGCGCTCGTCGAGCACGTGCGAGGCCCTGGGTTCGATCCTCAGCATCATATAAAAATAAATAAACAAAATTAAGGTATTGTGTCCAACTACTTCTAAAAAATAAATATTAAAAATAAAATAAAATAAAGTCTAAGGTCTTGGGGCTGGGAGTCAGTAGTAGAACGCTCACCTAGTACGCTCGATCCTCAGCAGCACATAAAAATAAATGTATTGTGTCCAACTACAACTAAAAAATAAATATTAAAAAAAAAAAAAAAGTCTAAGGTCTTAAATTCCCTGCATCTGAATTTGTAAAGTTTTCTAATTTTCCAGTTCCCAATCTAACCTATGTGTGGCTATGTTGAAGTAAACTAAATTTCCTTTGGTAATTGTACATCACTTTTCCTCTCAAAAACATATTCTTAAGCATTCATTTAATATATATTGACTATGTCCTACATGTTGAGCCTTTTTTATACATCAAATCCAAAGTTTCTCTTAATCATTAGAGATAATAAATAAAAACTGAATGGTAATTATTTCTATAAAATGGCAGTCTTCTTAGTAGTACATCTACTTAAGTTTTATTTTGTGTGCACATTATATTCTCTACCATAGCTGGATTTTGCCTTTCTCTGGCAGACAGGATATCATTCCTTCAAGTATTTCATATAATGCTTTTTTAATCTTTTTAAATTGTTCTATGCTCTTTTTTGTGTTATTATCCTCCCTGGCAGGGACTTAACTCAACTATCAAATTAACATTCAATTCTATTCTACATCTCTCTTGTGATTTTATCTAGCTAGCACCTAACATCATGCTTATGTCAATGAACAATCAGTCTTTTCATGTACTTCTCCAGGCAGCTCTTATATACCAACACATTTGAACACACTGAGAAAAAAATGGCCTCAAAAACAAGATGCAGCTGCACACACCGGTAATCCCAGCAGATGGGGAGGCTGAGACAGGAGGGAGGCTGAAACAGGAGGATCCTGAGTTCAAAGCCAGCCTCAGCAATTTAGCCAGGCGCTAAACAACTCAGTGAGACCCTGTCTCCGAATAAAATACAAAAAATGGCTGGGGATGTAGCACAGTAGTTGAGCACCCCTCAGTTCAATCCCTGGTACCCTCCCCCAGCCACCAAAAACAAGATGCATTACTGTAAAGATATACAGAACCACACCATTAATCCACTAAATCTACATTACTAAACATCAAAAAAAGACCTCCACAAGGATGGTGGAATGTGATGGACATCATTATCCAAAGTACATGTATGAAGACACAAATTGGGGTGTCAAAATACTTTATATATACAGAAATATGAAAAATTGTGATATATGTAATATATTGTAATTTAATGTGTAATGCATATATATATGTGTAATATAATGAATTGTAATGCATTCCACTGTCATTCATTCACTTATTTATTTATTTTTAAACCAATTTTAAAAAAAGACCTCCACTATACTGAGAATGTAGTGCCTTTGAAATAAGTTAAAATAATCATAATATAAATAAAAAGACAAAAATTCAAACCAATTTGAGTAACCTTTTCTGATCCTAAATGATAGTATAACAACACTGAAACCTAATAAATCACAAGCCAAAACAATGTTTGAAATAAGGTGGGACTGGCTTTTTCCATTGCCTCTTTACTTTTATGGATATGAAAGAAAAAAACGAAATGCATTCCCTCAACAATTTTAATAGCAAATGAAAGAGAATACTTACCATTAAAGCCCTGATAAGTATTCCTGCAAGCAGAGTGTGTGTAATCTATGAAGACATATTTAACAAAAAGGAATTAGTGCAATATTTACAAAAACCCAAATTTATAAATCCATCTATTAACACGATTTTTAAATGCCATTGACTCAATTATCTGAACAGCTGGGGCACAAATAATTACCAATATCCATTTGGGAAAACATGTATTCATGTTCTTCACTACCTAGCCAATGACAGGTTCATCATCCAAGTTATGCCAATGTAAAAATTAGTTTGTAACACCTGATAACAGTCAAAAGAGGGGATTTAGTATTGATTTATATTAAGTAACAAAAGGGCAGACATATTATGTATCAAAAATGTAAAAATCAGATACATCTGAGAATTGATTCTATGTTAACAAATTGTTTTCAAAGTTAATATTTCTTTTATCACTTAATTTGCTCTCTAAAGATTTCAAGATTTTATCAGAGAAATGCATATTTGAGTTTGTGCTACATCTACCCAAGATGTACCATCACAAAAAACCATATTGCCAATTTCTTTGTCAAAAACTAATTTCACAAAGTTAAATTCTTTACTTAAGTTTACAAGTGATGAAAAGAATAGAATTCAATTCAAGGGTCATTTGGATACAAAAGAACACTACAACAGTACACAGGATTATATTCAGATAAACCCTTTAACTCAAATTCCATCTTGTAAATACAGCAAGGTGGCTGAGGATGAGCAGTGATGGGCAATTACAAACACTTTATAACTGTAGGCATATGGTGAAAAGAAATAAACAATAACAAAAGAGTTATTCTATCACTTTTCCCATACTTAGATTTGGCAGTTTTAACTATCTGTCGTATGAAAACAAAAGATCAAAAGTTCATTCAATGTTAAAGATCAGTTTTTGGTGGGATTGAATGCATACAATTCCTAGTGATTTGGTTTTATTTATAAGTGCCGGGTTACTCAGGATTAATTCCGTGTAATAATATAAACTCTTTCCCATGTCTCCTTAATGATGTCACTACATACCATTTTATCTTGATGCTAAGTCCTATAAAAGTTGGACAAGATTTGAGGACAACCACAATAATTCTACTATGTGACCCTGTGAACTGGCGTCAAAGATGACTGAAAGGTCTTGTAAAAATCCCGTTTATTTAATCAGTAAATCCAACACAGGCTGCTGTGTACTGATGTGAAGGGCGTCTTATGCTTCCTGTGCCAGAATTCTGATTGACTTAACACAAGCTTTAAAAAAAAAAAAAAGTGCTTTGGTTCACAAATTTACTGCCTATTAGGTATTTACGTCTAGGTAGTTTAGGGTGATGAAATATCCCAGTTTGCTAACCAGGAAATAGACTGCTTCTCGTTCGGTATAAATATCTACCTAAATATGACGCCCTTCAAACTCATCTTGAACTAAGTCAACCAGGAACAACACCGCGTACAAGCTTCTGGAAACTGCATTTAGCAAGAAGTCACCCAGGTTGAGGATTAACTAAACGGGCGATCTCGGTCACCGCCCCTTGGGGCCAAAGCGAGCCACGCTGGGGCGGCCCGCTGGCCCTGCTGCCCGAGGCCGGGAAGTTGGAGGAGTGGAGGCAATCTGCACGCCCAGGGGGGCAGGGCGATTCCGGGCCCCGAACCCCGAGGCCCTCGCGCTCTGTGCTCTTCCTTCTTGGCACCGAGATCGGCACGGACCGTTCAGATCCCCGCTAGCAGTGGACACCCGGCGGACCGAATAGCGGCGCGCGGGTAGACAAGGAGGCCAAGTCCCGGCGCTGGGCCCGCGGAGGGCGGGTGGCCTCCGGGCCGGCAGAACAAAGCCCACACGGCCATCTTGAGACGGTAAACAGACCCCCAGCACAGGCCACCCCGCTCCCGCATGCCGCGACCACCAGCCCGAGGCGGTGCTTACCGTCCTCGAAGTCCATGGCGGAGGCGCCGGGCTGACGACCACGGCGGGAATAGTTGAGCTGCAGCCCGCAGCAAGAGCTCGCGACCTACCGTCCCACTAGACCAGTTCACGCGACCAAAAGCGGCGCTACCGGACGGGGAAGCCGCAGGCCACAGCGAGGCTGGGGGCGGGGCGGGCCGGCGCTGCCTGCCGCAGCAGCGCGGTCTGCGATTGGTTGGCGCGGGGTGATGGGCGGGCCTCTGCGTGGGGCGTGAAGCAGGGTCGCTGTCATGCTCTAAACACCCTGAGCTACCGAGCGTGACGGAAGGTGAAAAACGAGCGCCAAAGACTGGAGGGGATTGCTGGAAAGTGAGCTGAGTGTTCTGGAAGGGCTGGCTGTGGCCCGCCATGTTTGAACCTGGCAAAAGCGAAAGGATCTGGTGGGAACATCTTCCTCCTGCCCGAACTAATAAAACCACGTGCCAACCTTCTGCTTTTTATTGGCTAGTGATGACCGATCAGAAAAATTTTTAAGTACTTCTCAAGTTTCTGCCTTGGAGACACAGAAGTCTGGAACGTGCGCAGAAGAACAGATTACTGAACAGAAAACAATTATGGAAATGGTCCAAATGATTCTGAATTTTAAGGTGCAATTAAAAGAACTGTAAAAGTTCTCAGGGTTAGATTTGTGGCACGAGTAATTCAGAACTTGAATGGCCCTCACAAACCCACACACACATATATTAGTATTGTATTATTGCCACTTTGGAAACAGTGTTAGGGACATAAGCAAAGTTACCCATGGGGCAATATGGGGGGGGGGGGGCAGCTGTTTTGGTGATTCTGACCCTGGAATGTCTTGAACCTCACGTTAGAAACTTTTTTTCCCCACAGAGCAAATGGTGGCAACAATGAATTCATCACCACATAGGAAACCACCAATGAGACTTTGCTTTAGTCAAAGCGGGCAGCCTCCTTTGAACTGGAAGTGAATTGGAAGGAAAATTCGCAGGTATGTATTATTACTGTAGCTCCATATCTGAACAAAGCATTGTTTCCTTCTCATCATTTTCCTTCTCCACCTTGATTGACTCATCCTGTTCTCCACCCATTATTTGTTTTCTTCTTTTTACCCCTCCTGTACATGTTTTCTATTCACCTGAGCTGAGCATGTTTAAAACTGAACTCATAATTTCCCTCCTCAAACCTGCTCATCCTCCTTTATTCTTTCATCTACTAGTGGCATCATGAGCAACCACCCACTAATACCTGCCAGAAGGCTGCGAGTCATCCAGTTAACACTCAGTCTTCTCCCAGCCTCCCACCTGCAATCCATACTGAAGTCTTTCATCTATTCATTACCTCCTAAAGTTTTTTAAAGCTGTCCCCTCCTCTTCATCCCCACTACCATTACTTGAGTTAAAACTCTCATTATCTCTGTATGCATCTATTGCCTTAGCTTCCTAATTAATTTCTCTGTCCTTCAGCCTCTCCTGTTTTCAGCCTCCTCAGCCTGCAGTGATCTAAAAGCAAACCTGAACATGTCATTACACATCTCTAGCATGGCTTAAGTCTAGTCAAAGCTCCTTAACCTAGAACATGTGCAGCAAGATCTGGCCACAGCCTGACCTCCACTATCTCCCTTTATTTTCCCCCTTCTCTCTCCCACACTATTCCTTTTAATTAGCAGTTTTAGACTACTGGCTTCCAAAACATCCCTGTGCTTTTTTATGCTACTGAACTTTTGCTCACATTGTTGTCTCTCCTTGGAACATCACCTGGTTAAATCAAGGCATCCTCAAAACACAGCTCAGGATTTACCTTTTCTAGGAAACATTTCCAGACATCATCCCTGCCCTCTTGGTCAGCACCTTTCAAGTATTACTATGCAAGTTATTCACCTACGGACTTGTTAAAACAGATTCACATTCAGTCAGTCTGAGATGAGGTCAGAGAGTATGCATTCCCAACAAACCTATAAGGGCGGCTGCTGCTGGTGGCTTTGCTCTCTGTTACAGCATTGTCTCCCATGCATCAAGTACTCTGGTGTTACAACTTTCCACAATCAAAGCTCTTTATTTATAGAATAGTCTTCTGGGGCTGGAGATATAGCTCAGTGGTAAAACACTGGATGAACACATATGAGACCCTCAGTTCAATCCCCAGTACCCCCCTAAAAGTCTTCTTGTATCCTTAGTACCAAACACATGTTTGCCAAGTAAAATTGAGCTCTCCACTCCCTGTTTTTAAATCTTTTTCTTGTTTTCATTTTTACCCACAGCTTCCTCTGGTAAAGGAATGGTCTTATAACCTAAAATCTTCAGATCTTACCATGACTAGAAGGAAATAAACATTGGGTCACTATATTTTATGTAACACACACACACACACACACACACACACACACACACCCATCTCCCTTGAAAAAGAAAACTGCCAGACAAGGAATTCTTAACTCCAGAGGAAGCCTGGCCATAATCACATGGACAGCCAGGATACATATAGCTCTTTGCCCCTTTCTTCCTCTTTCCCAAATAGGAAATGTTCTTTCACAGATGGTCATACCCCAAAGATACCTTGCAGTTAATGCACAAGAGGCCATCAAGTTTTTCCTTGACTCACTTATTCAACAAATACTAATTGAGCACCACCTATATGCCAAGCATCATTTTCTCACTTCATTGTCATTGTTCACCCCTACCACCCCTACTGTGGAGAGTCTAAACGGGACTACCTGATTCCCACTTTGCTAGACTCACACACTTTTACCCTAAGATCTCAATCTTTTGTACAAAGTCATATGCCATTTTGTTTTTCATATAATTTACAACAGGTGGAAGCTGGAGGTGTGGCTCAGTTGTAGAGCACTTGACTAGCATGCACAAGGCCCTGGGATCAATTCCCAGCCCAAGACATAAACATACAAAATTACAATGAGTAACAGGTTCATAAATCCCAGAGCAACAAAGTCTAATGGGAAAAATAAAAGAGGGTTTTTGTTTTGTTTTGTTTTTTACTTTGCAGAGTAGCAAAAGATATGGGGGCTGAGATCAAAAACAAACTGCAGGGACAAGGAGGAAATAGAGGTCCCACGTAGGACCTGTTCCTGAGGGAGTTGTCAGAGAAGCTCCACCCCCGAACCTGAAGAGAACTCACTGAATGGACTCCTTGAGGACACAGAGAACTTTGTTCCTCAACTCTTAACCCTTCTGCCTATATAACTTTTGTTTCAACAACCAGCACCATCAGCTGTTCCCTGAACAAACTCTGTATTTTCACATTTCTGTGCCTTTGCTCAAATTATACCTTGCTGCTATTGCTGAGATAACTTGCTGCTTCCTTCTGTGTTTTAGGTTCACTATAAATGTGGCCTCTTTTTAAACCTCTCCCCAATCAGAGTCTCATTCACTTTATGTAAACTTATTAGCAGTTTCACAGTCGGATTCTTGTTATAGTGAGTGAGCTAGTTATATCTTTCTGTAGCTCCTTGCTTATCCTTTTTGAATGTGAAAACCCTTCTTTGTGCCCTTTAGGTGGCCTATACGTAGCACACTGACACTACATATGTTGAGGGAGAGGAGCATTCACTAAATCACTACTGAGAAAAAGACTTGACTGAAATTGGTTGCCCAGAGATTCATCTGCACAAAACTACATTGGAGCTGGGGATATAGCTTAGTTGGTAGAGTGCCTGTGTCACATGTACATAGGTCCTGGATTCAATCCCCAGCACCACCAAAAAGCAAAAGAAAGGAAAAAGGAAACTACTACATTATACAATTATTTTGGAGAGTAACAGTAGAGTTGAGACCAGTTTTCACAATGCTTTCCTATTTTGCCTCCAAGTAATTATTATTCCCATGTTCTTTATGGAATCCAGAAACAGTTAAGGAATAAACTCAAGACTTAAGAATTACTGTCTTACAGCAAAGCAGTCAAACTTAAAAGTAATTCCCACTGAAGACTCGAAGGACTTATCAAAGGAGAGTTGGTTACAGGGCCATACAATGGAAAACTGAAATCAACTAGTATGATGGTGTGCGGTGGAATGTGTTTTATACATATGACAAGGTGTTTCTCCCAGGTTTTAATATAGAACTTCAAAAAGGTGTGGGAGTCTCTGCCAGTTGAAAGGAATAGCAATAAAAATAATTAACCATTATTAAGCCCTATAATATAAATATGCTTTTAAAGGCACTTTACATATATTAACTCATTTTAGCCACCTGAAAAGCCCTATGATGCAGTGGCTAATAACATCCCCAACTTACCAGTGAGGAAACTGAGACCAAGACAGGTAAAGCTACTTGCCCAACGTCACACAGCTGATAAAGGGTAGAGCAGAGATTCCAGCCCAGCCAGGCTGGTTCCAGAATCCAAACTTGTATATCTATCATTTTGAAGTATTTACTATGCTTTACTGAGCAGCTAATTGTGTTCCAGAAATTTTGATGAACACCCTGTTATGTGCCTTATTTCTGATCTTTACAATGAAGTAGGTTGTACCCTTTTTCAAAGGAGGAAAACTGAAGAGAAGTCAAATAATCTACCCAACAGTACACAACAAGCAATTACACGCTCCGTATTCATGATAAATATTATACAGTCAGGCATAGGTCTATTGGTATGTGAAGCCAACCTTGTAGACCCAATATCATCATCAGAGTCCTAGGTTTAAAAAAGAAATGACCGATGGTTTCACATCATTCTGCATAATGTGGTCAAAGAGAACTACTTAGGAAAAGAAGTGATCATGAATGCTTTGCCCTATGCTCCAGGCCTTCCTCAAATTAGAAAAACCAAACAGCTTTGTATGAATTTCCTTCCCAAGAAAGCAGGGTGAAGTTCCAAATGCACAGGTGCTTTCAAAATGTAACAGTTACTTTCCTGTCTCATCTACATATTATATAAAGTACGCTCTTTTTGGAAAATGAAGTTAATTTTCTTTTAGGGATTCAGTTAAAACTATGATTTACTGCCATTCGTTTTATACTACTAATGTGTTTTAGTCTGCCACAAATTTTAATTGTCCAAGTAAATTGAAAGCAAGCTGGCTGTGACATCTGTCGACTGCACTGGGGTCTACAAGAAATCAAGTTCTTCCGTTTGGATGTCCCAGGCTTGTTGAACAGGTCAACGCACTTGGCCCTGTTTTTCCCAGCAAATAATGATCCCCATGAAAGCAAAGATTTCATCTTCGTATCGCCAGACGCCTAGAAGCATATCTGGCACATGGTAGGTTGTTGATGTGTGTTGAATAAATAAAAAATAAAAAGACCTACAGCCAGATCCTGTATTTATATAGTTCCATTATACATTAAGGCAATATCTAGAAATAATAATACAGACATATAACATTTAAACACAAAGGTATGCAATTTAAACCACTTGTAGAGTCCTTCCCGATGATATAGTTTACAACAGAAAAGGGCACAGTCCTAGAATAGCCAATAGAGGGCACCATACACCAAATGTAGACAACAGAATTTGGGCACAAGTTCTAGATTCTGGTGATCTGAAGGTTCTCAAATAAACACCATGGTAGAGAATACTCATGTGGGCCTATGTTCTGCAGGTACCTGTATTTCTATTAAAGTGTAATCATAAATATAAATATTCCCATTTGCCTTCATTAGCTTTCATTTTTAGAGATGACTTTGAAAGCATGAAACAATGCAAAATGCTTATTTATTAGAATGATAAATTTTGAAAAGGAAAATACAGAATTGCATATGGAATTGGATCATTGCTATGTTAAAAATTTTTTAAAAGATAAAGTATAGAAATAAAATAGAAAAAAAATCCAAAACATGAATAGTGATTCTATTTGTAATGACCTTTTCTATACACAGGCATGTTTTATTCTTCTACATTCTCCAAATTTCTTGAGCACTTTGATAATAGAAAATATGTATTTGACATAAAATAAGATGCTGTATTTATTAATGACTAGTATCTATTAAAAGTTGTCTTTAGTCAAATACTGTACTTACTATTGTGGAGACATAGTTAAGATGGGGGATGGGGTGTTCCAGTGGCCATTTGAGTCACTGTGGAATCCAGGGCATTTTTTAGTAAGCACCAATACTCAAGCATCACTTCAAGGATTCTGAACACTTCAAGGATTCTGAACACAGTCATCAGTGTTTAACTATTTTCAAGACATTCTAAGAGGTGCTATTTGAAATAAATTATTTTGTGTTTTAGTAACTTGTACTTGAGAAAATGTCAAGTCTGTTAAAAGATTGAATAACCACACATTCCCTGATTGATCTGTTGAGAAATGGGAAAACAACTGCACCCTGAGTCAGGGCTGGTACAGACACGTGTACATCCTGCAGCTCTAAAAGCTGGCTTGATTCCCTGTAACTACCCTGCAGCCCTTGGGAGATAATTAGCTAATGACAGTAAAGGGCTTTTAAACTTGAAACATGTTGTATAAATGCTAAACACAGGAAATACACAAAGGATTTCCCCTGATTGCCAATACTTCTCAACCAGAGACAATTTGATGAATCTTTTGGTCAATTTCTCTTCTGCACCTAAAATCTTTCTAATCTGTCATCTAAGGGAAACAAAAGGAGTTATTTTTCAAATGACTTTCCTTCAAATCAAAGACCTAAGAAGATTACATCTTTCACTCTCATAGAAGTGAGATGACTGCCTTAACAAAACACCACATTATAAAGTGGTTTGTGTGGATGTAGTTTAGGCAGTGGGCTGGTTTGCTTGTATAACTGAAGAAACACCCTAGACATCATCTTTTGGGGCTGTTTGTTGTTGTTTTGTGTTTTTGTTTGCTTGTTTTTTAAGATAAGGGATTCACTATGTTCCCCAGGATGAGCTCAAGTAATCCTGTCTCAGCCTCTTGAGTAGCAGGGACTTGAGTCACACACTACTATGCCTAGTTCATCTTTTGTTTAAAAGCAAATAATTGTGTGCATTCGGTAGAAAATCACATAGAATGAAAGAGCTCCAGTGAAAAGTAGCTGGTTTTCCCCCACCTGGTCCAGTTTTTAGCTTATCTGCAAGGAAACCTCTTTTTTATCTGGTGTGAGATCAATAATATTTACTTCCGGGCTAGGGATGTGGCTCAAGCGGTAGCGCGCTTGCCTGGCATGCGTGCGGCCAGAGTTGGATCCTCAGCACCACATACAAACAAAGATGTTGTGTCCACCGAAAACTAAAAAATAAATATTAAAAAATTCTATCTATCTTAAAATAATAATAATAATAATAGTATTTACTTCCACCGTACTCTATATCTCTTCTTCTTGGTTTACCAATGTAGTTGGCATTAGTAGATTCCACAGTATGAAAATGGACATGCATCACATCCTACCTTCCTCCTCTCTGCTTTCAATGCAACAATAGTATTTTATTTCCCCATAGGAACTAAACTTTTATATATATATATATATATATATATATATATATATATAGTATTTTATTTCCCCATAGGAAATATGACATATAAAATATATAATATGTATACATAATATATATCATATGTACATATAATATGTGCATACATTATGTGTTATATATTATACAATTGTCTATATATCATATATTATATAATTATATATAATATGTATATATCTCTATTATATGTACATATAATATATGTTTATATATATTTATTTATATTTTGGGGGGGGGTGTACAGGGGATTGAACTCAGGGGCACTCGATCACTGAGCCACATCCCCAGCCCTATTTTGGGCTGAGTTGTTTAGCACCTCACTAAATTGCTGAGCCTGGCTTTGAACTCATGATCCTCCTGCCTCAGCTCCCCTATGCCAGACGTTGGGATTACAGGCATGTGCCACCGCACTTAGCCTAAACTTTTATATTTTTAAATAAATATTCAAATTTCTACTTCTTTTAATATAGTATTTGTGGATTTCTGTTTTATAGAATAAAAGTAGTGGTTCCTCTTCCCATTCCTCCACTCTTCCTCTGCTTTTCATTTTTTTCCAGCTACACTTTGCCACTAACAAAATTGTTAACATTTGCATTGTATGCTGTAGCCATTAAAACAAAAAAATCATTCTCTGCTTTATCTTTAGGTTGACTTTAGAAGTTAAAAACCTATCTATTTCCTTCCAAGAGTAAACTATGCCAAGGGAGGAGAAGGAAGTGATTTTATATCAGAGATGCCTGGCAAACACAAGGTGATCAAGGTCAACGTCAACAATGATAAGTCAGGTATAGTATATACTCTTGGTCGAATGTAACGAAAATGGCACTTTACCTTTGTGGTCTTCACTAGAGAACCAATAACCACATCTCAATTGTAAGAAAAAATGTCAGATAAACCTCAAGAAAGAGATATTTTTATTCCTGGTCATAGTTTGCTCCATGTACAGTTTGTGACTTAATTGCTCAAACTTTTTTCCTCAAGTTTCTAATTGTCATTTTATTTTGTGTACTCCAGCTTGTAGTATTTTCTGCTCACTTTTTTTTTTTAATCAGGGATTGAACCCAGGGTTGCTTAACCACGGAACCACATCCCCAGCTCTTTTTTGTATTTTATTGGAGACAAGGTCTCACCGAGTTGCTTGGGGTCTCACTAAGTTGCTGAGGCTGGACTTGAACTTGCATTTCTTCTGCCTCAGCCTCCCAAATCAATGGGATTACAGGCGTGCACCACACCCAGCTGGCTGCCCATTCTATTTTAATAGGAAAAAGAACACAGGAAATTTATTACATGCCTAAGACACAGGAGTATTAGATTCCTTCCTGTCCATTTTAACCATTCACTTTCCACTTTCACTTTCTTTTAGAAATTGGTTGAAATTACCAGCCTGCTGGTTTCTATTTCTATATCTCCCCAATACATACTATTTTTTTAAAAAAAAATTTATTTTTGTTGTTGATAAACTTCTATTTTATTTATTTATATGTCGTGCTGAGAATCGAACCCAGTGCCTCACACATGCCAGGCAAGTGTGCTACCATTGAGCCACAACCCCAGCCCCATACTGATTTTTTTTTTTTCTGTACATGTCTACTTGTATTTCAGTGGAGCCTCAGTAGAAGATAACTGCCTTTAGGTTTCCTCTTCTCTCTTGACAGGGAAACTTACTTCACCTTTCCTATGGTTTTATCATCATTCCTTACAGTGGGTATATTAGTAGCTTTAAAAATGGAAAAGTAAAGCCAGGCACACAACCTGTAGTCCCAGCTACTTACTCAGGTGGGAAGACCACCTGAGCCCAGGTGTTAAAGGCCAATCTGGACAACATAGCAAAACCCTGTGGGGTGGGGGGTAGGGAGGGAGCATCTGCCTTATGGTTTTGAACTTACATTGGCTCCTTTAGGAGAAGGAAACAATTCTTTTGATCTATCAGTGGCTTCCTGCTACCAAATATTTCTAAAAGTAGATTGCTCAGATTGATACAATTCTCTTCCTTGTTTTAAAAGAACTGCATGATTATAGGAAAATGATTAAATTTAACAGAAACTTCCCTTGATCATTTTTAACAGATCCCTGCCTAAAGCACATGTTGTGCTTTCAGCATTGTCTTGAATGAGGCAGGCAGAACTAAAAGAATCACAGAGGGGAGGTGAAGTTGTCAAGTCTTGAAATGTATTTGGGGATCATTTGCCTTTATTCCCAACTTTTCAGCTGAGGACAAGAAGACCTGGTAAACTGAAGGTACTTGTCCAAGATTACTCAGCAAATAAGTGAAAGCATTAGTGTAAGAAAACAAGTTATTTTATTGTGTATATTTCAGCCTGTGGCATTTTCTGCCCATTACACTTTATTTTAACAGGAAAAAGAACACAAAATTTATTACATGCCTAAGGCATGGGAGTATGTGGCTCCTTCCTACTCATTGTAACCATTCATTCTCCTCTTTCACTCTTTCAGAAATTTTTGGAACTCTCAGGTCTGTTGGTTTCTACCCCTCACCAACACACACAGGTTACTCCCAATAGCCTTCTGACACATACCCCACCCTAAGTCTTGAGAAGCTGTTTTCCTTTTGCTTCACTCCAATCACCTTCCTCCAACCACATCCTTTTCAGGAATTATGAAAAGAAAAACTAGAGAGGAGGGTAGGCTGGGAAGACGAGGACTGCCACTGGGATGGAGTCAGACCTGCTTTTTCCAGGATCTACCTGCTAAGGCTGGGATCAGTGAACAAAACTTGTAACTTTGGGAATTACCCTTTTCTCCTCTCTCCCCACCCTTACCCCAAGGCTGCCTGAGAGAGAGTTGATACAGATGGCAGCTTCTTTTGACAAACATGTGTCCTGGCCCTAGAAATGAGAGATCTCTTTTACAAAAGAAGTTAGTAGATGTTCCTGTTTACATAATACACTGTTCTCCCCAGAGCCTTCTTATGTCCTGTCATATTGGTATGAATTACCAGGGGAGAAAGGTCGTAATTTTATGATGTTTAGTCCACTAATGAAGCAAAAGAAATGTTTTCTCTATTGTTTAATTTGTTTATTGCTGTTTGCTTCAGGAAATCAGAAAGGAAAATGTTAAGAGTATACTTGACTATTCATGTAGTTTTAAAAATGCAAAGTAATGAGGAAGAAGTCCTCTTCCACGTCCTATAATGGCCATCTGTAACAGCTCTGACAAATGAACTCTCATGTGTATCTCTGCCTGGTCTCATCTTTCATTTCTTGCTTACCCGCCTCTCTTCCTCACTTTCCCTTCATAGGCAACCTTCAAAACCTTGGCACTAATGTATTATAACTGTAACTGTCTCTGAGTCCCATCTGAAAATGTAACCAGCTTTGTGAGGCACTGAGGGCTCACTTCTGCATGCCTCCATTGAGTATCTTTAGCTGTGACTCAGCAAAGTTTCTTGTTTATGAGGGACAGCCCTAATCTCCCTTAGCAATTTCTGTCCATCCTTTCAGATTCTTGTCTAGTAAGCTGTACCTTCTATAAGGTCAGGCACCAGTGATCAAAAGGAGGCAGGTTAAAAGCTGCTGAACAAGGCTTTATTGAGATTCGCTCTGGGAGAGACCCTTCAGTCCAACAGAGCAGGTACTAGGGAATCACACCCAGGCTCAGCTGGATTGGAATTTTATTGAGTTTGGAGCAGGAAGGGAGGGTTTGGGACAGGAAAGGGAGGTTTTTAGAGTCTCTTGTCCTCCTGGGGTTGGTCGGGGGATCTTGCTGAGATCCATGTCCTTCCAGGATTCATCAGGAGAACCCCACCAATTGACAGGTGGTTGAGACACCATCACTGCTTGTTTGTGGGCACCTGATTGGTTGTTCTTTCGTCCACGAGCCGGTTACATGGTGCTTTGTTCCCTTAGCCACTTCAAATCGACCTAATACCTTATCAGTTAGAAAGTTCAATACTAGGATCTTCTTTTTTTTTTTTTTTTTCTTAAGAATAATGGCAAATTTAAGCTTTAAAATTAAATTCCAAATTGTAAAAATTCTTCTTGAGGCTGAAATATTCAAAAATCTCAAAATGGGACTGGGGACATAGCTCCATGGTAGAATGTGTACTTGGCTTGCACAGACAAGGACCTTTGTTCCATCCCCAGCAAACACAAACACCCTGTACCGTCCAATGCACACACATAAAAACAACAGCAACGAAACAAATCTCAAAATAGTTTATACTCACAACAAATGAATGCCTAATAAGAATAATGAGATAGTCATAGAAAAGATATTTAAAGATAAAGAATAAGATTGGGGTTGTAGCTCAGTAGTAGAACTCTTGCCTAGTATGCACAAGTACCTGGGTTCTGTCCCCAACATTGAAAAGCGAGACAAAGAAAGAGAGAGAGATAATAGATGGTTAGTATAGATCTATTAATAGCATAGAAGCATTGGTATAACAAAAGTATTGATGGACAAGCTGGGAAATCAGAATATTGATTTGACTGTTAAATGATCTTTATGTACAACAATTTAGTTTACATTTCTAGATTAATTTTGTCATTGATATACAATATTTCTCAATGTACCAATGGAAACTCAAAAAACATGTGAGTAGTGGATGGACACTACAGCACATGAACACAAGTACATCCAGGGTTTGGATCCCATCTCTGCCAAAGTGAACTTTTACAAGTTTCATTCTGAGATAGTTTATCTATAAAGGGGGATAATAATGGTATGTTTCATAGGCCATTGTTGTGAGGATTAAATGAAATAATCCATTTAGCACAGTGCCTGACATATAGTTAGCACTCAGTGCTTTTATCATCATTCTGACTTTAGACAACCTCCTTTCCCTTCTTTAGGAGTCTCAACATCACAGTTACAAAGGGTCTTGCAGGTGTGTGTGCAATGTGCCTTCACATGAGAGTGTGATCTTTCTGAAAGAACTGTGCTTTCATTCTTTTTTTTAAAAAAAAATATTTTTTAGATGTTGATGGATCTTTATTTTATTCATTTATTTATATGTGGTGCTGAGAATTGAACCTAGTGCCTCACACATGCCAGGCAAGCACTGTACCACTGAGCCACAATCCCAGCCCTGTGTTTTCATTCTTGTAGATTACTCATTTTGGTAAATGATATTCTAATATGAATGGTCAGTAAAGTTCTAATATATTTCTTTTCCTCTACATTTCCCACTTAAGTCACATTTTAAAACAAAGGTTTAAGATGGCATTTAAATTTCAGAGTCATGAGGACACATAAATACAGCAAATTCTGTTATCTAAGGCAATTTTTTCAAGGTGTCTTTTTAAACTCTAACTCATAGTTGACAATTTTCAAGGTAACTGAAATTTTGTCTGCACTCATCAGTAAAACTATACTGACCACTGTTTACATACTCTCTCTCTTTCTCCCTCCCCATCTTTATCTCTGTTTTAAAAAATATTTAAAATAAAATAAAATGTTTAAAATAAAAAAAATTAATGGACTTTATTTAAATTAACTGCTTTTCCACATTGTTAAAAAAATAAAACACAAGTTTTGGAAGAAATATTTGGAATGCATATATCTGACAAAGACTTGTATCTAAAATACAAAAGAATAAGGATACAACAACCTAATTTTTTTTTTACAGAGAGAGAGAGAATTTTTTAATATTTATTTTTTAGTTTTCGGCGGACACAACATATTTATTTGTATGTGGTGCTGAGGATCAAACCCAGGCCACATGTACGCCAGGTGAGCACACTACCGCTTGAGCCACATCCCCAGTCCCAACAACCTAATTTTTTAAATGGGCAACATATTTGAACAGATGCATAATAAAGCATAT